TGTTTATCTTTTTGGTGCGAGCAAATCACTGTTTACTTTGGCCGCGTGATTTTCCGGGCATTTCCTCCTCTTATATATTTACGCGATCCCCTCTCGCCGATCTGCTGTGTTTGCACAACGATTTTCACGCATTTGAATTCGTGATGATTTTTTGCCGGGAAAACACAAGCCAGCGTGTGATGTTTGACGGTCTCCGGCAAAGCAAACATCAAACAGCCGAAAAATCGAATCAATTCGATCTCTTCGACGATGAAGCAGAGCTAGGGAAACAACCCAAACAAAACCTTCTGGCGATTCGCATGCAAATTGTGATTAAAAAAAGCCTGTCGGCAGTGTTTACATTTTGGTTCAACTCTGTTTGTATGTTGTTCACAGTTTTTTTTATTTTAGATCAACAAATCTTTCTCAATAAGAATTCAATTTGTCAGCAAAATAATTTTAATTTTATACCTATTTTTTAAAATTATCTTTGAATTTTAACTTTTGACTGTAGCAAAATTTTTTTTCTGAAACATTTGAAATCAAAATTGTAATTACTTTAAAATAAAAATACTTTATATCTTAAAGATAAAGTCAGTTGCAGAACAAACGCAGAAATTCTCTCCCAAGACTATGTGAAATCGGAGGGTTTTATCTGGTGGCAAAAGGAGTTAGCTTGTTGTTTTCTGGCAGGGTTGGCGACGGCGGTTGACACCCCAACTTGGGCGCACATCCCTCTGGTAGCAACTCACTGCAGCCGGGCGGGCGTAATAGTCGCTATTCTTGTTGAGATAAATCACCGAGATGCGTGTGATCCTCACCAGATTAACTCGGCAATCTTGGCGCAATTTATTTGAGTGGGCTCAGGAATAACCTGCGAGTCAAACGCCCTGCTGGGTGGCGAGAGAGAGAGATCCCTGCTCTTATTGTTCCACACTCACCAGCCGGTGTGTTTTGAGCCCTGGACTTACACTAGGGGACCGAGGGCATTTTTCAGCCCCGGCTGGCGCTGACGGCCAGATTCGCGCCCCGCAGAGAATGAGAAAGAGATTTGCCCAGCGCAAAAAATGAAGTCGTCGGTAGAGCTGTCGATTTTGCAGCGCTTCCGAAAGATGAAACTTTTTCGTTGGCCCCTTGAAATGATGTATAAAAAAATACCGTGCAATTTTTAATATCTCCAAAACTAAGTTATAATTTTATAAACGAAACAATTTTTATTTAGTAATTCCTATTTTTTAATATTTTTCAGTAAAATATTTCATTTAATAAGTTATATTATCCTATAAACAATTTTGAAATTAATCATCTTGTAAATAGATAAACATCAATAATAATACTAAATAAATAACGAATCAGTGCATCTAACATTTACAAAAATATAATTTTTTTTATAAATTTCAATTTACAATAAAAAAAATTGCTATGTAAGAGAATTCCATCAAGTCTTTAACGAATTCTTGTAACAAATTCATTATTAATGATATGTATGAGGTATGATGAAATTTGAGATGAATAATAAAAGGTAAAGTCGCGCCAGTCGTTATTAAAAACATAATTAATACATCATAATCAGCCATACCATCAAAAATTAATATTTTAGAAAATCATCGATCCCTGTACCAAGATTCTTTGCTCCGGTTCGTCTCCCCTTGAAAATACAAGAATCCAATTCCGTCGTATATCAGCATTAACCCCAGCAACTCTGTAAAAAGAAGAAAAAACAGACTGCGCCCGAGGTCAAAAAATCAGGGGTGCGAATAGTGGCTGGGAACATGTGCGCAGAGCTCCCTTGGGACTTGCGAGGGATGGATTTATGTTTGTCTCATTGGCTCCTTTTAAAATCGGCTGCTCTATTACGCACGCACGCGAGGCGTCTTGGCTGAATTTATGGCTTCGAGCGATGGAATCCGTTATTCCCGAGATTACATTTGGGGATTAAACAGAGCCGCAGCAGCAGCCCGAATTCAATACACGACTGAGTTCAAATCGAAGGGAATATATTTCTGCACCAGTCGGGTCGCTGCATCGCTCGCTTTAATTTTTATAAAAGAAGACACGTGTGTGGTCGTGGCGCAAATGCTAAATTTCTTGACCCTGCAAAGTGTTTTGGCCAAAAACCATCACTTTCAAAGTTATGACTCAAGAGTAAACAATATATCCCTTCAAAATATTTTTCTTCTTAATTAATTTGGATTTTGAAACTCTAAGAGCTAAAAAATATTAAAATTTAATTCTTCTATTGTCTCAACAAGCAGACATATTAATATAAAAGTAATTAATTGATAGAATTATTTGGCAAAATTTTCTCATCTTACCCTAATTAAGAAAATAAACTAATGACTGAACTTGCATTTTATTTATTACATTGGATAATAATAAAGAAAATGCTCGGAGTTTTCAAAGCAAGTCTTTGTTAGAAAATCCCGTGTTCGAGCAGGATTCTATTGTCTCTTGTGTTGAGTAAATGCAAAGATTGCAAGATATTCGAGAAAGAAGAGTCGAAGGAGTCGACACAAAAGCCAGCGTGTTTTCTTTATTTCGTTGTTCGCGGTTGCAAGCAGATTAAAAAGCTAGTGTGAAAGAAGGCGAAAAAAGTTTGCAGCAGAAGAAAAAAAACAAGCTTTTTAAAGCGTAAGAACAGCTTGATTTTGCCGAGAGTTGTTGACAAAGGAGCACGCCGTCGTCGTCGACGCTGCGCGAAATTACTCCTCAACGACTCGATTCAGCAACAACAACACACAGCTCGTCGCGTGTGCAGTAATAATTTTAAGTGTTTGCCATTATTATAAACATCTCTTATGCTTCTTTCCGTCGTCGACGCTGAGATAGAATTATTCTAGAACCCGCCCACAGAAAAAGAAACGAGTCGAGATTCATTATTCCTTTTGAGACATTTTTTCTCCACCAAAACTTTGTTCTCGAGTGAATTTCAAGAGTTTTTGCAGAAATTTTCAACCTCAGTGTCTCATTTTTTCCTTAAGAAGATCGTCGCTTGAGTGAAAAAGTTGTGAGATTTTCTGTAAAACACACTTTTTGCGAAAGGAAACAAACGTCTTTAAAACTGCCGTCAGCTGAAAAGAGAGTGATATTTCAATAAGGAAATGTTGCTTGAGGATATGTACAAATATTACGTCCAAGAAAAACTCTTTCATCAAAAAAATGTTAAAATAATTCCTTGGAATATCGTGGGTTGATGACATTATTTTAATGAAATTTCATGAGTTCAACTTTGTAACATCATTTTATGACTTTAAAACGAAATTTCCTCACAAGTTTATTAAAAAATGAAAAAGAAACAGAATCGGCGCTTGTATCAATGATAACCGTACTATAAAGAAAAGAAATGTTAATCTGCAAAATTTAATCAATGTTTCGTTATTTTACACAAATATTTTTTAACATTGGATAAAAATTTTTGAGAGGGGAGTATTGTATTTTTATTCAAAAAGACACTTGCTAAAATTTCAAAATAAAAAAGAACCTTCCACCTTGGTGAGCCTTGATGAAAAACATATTAATGAATAATTTTTTTATGTTAAAAATGATAATGAACTTCTAATAATCTGGAAGTTTTGTGCATAAACGATTATATCTCCTTTTAATTCTTGCTTTGTTAGGCTTTAATGTTGGTTTTGTGACCTGTAGTGAAAATATTTATAAACATCAGTCGGGTCGACGTCATCAAACGACTTCTTAATGTGGCCGCGTGCTCAAAATGCCCCGAGGGCCGATTTAGCTCATTTCCAAAGTGGCTCTTCCTTTATTCGCTTAAACTCTTTTCCTCCAGTGGTGGAAAAGTGAAAAGCCGCAGTGTTTCGCCACTCGCCGTCTTTCCCGAGGCGAGAGTGTTTGCCGGTTATTTATTTATCTATTTGCTGGTTTCGGCAGCTGCTCCGCCGACTCGTTCGCTTGCGGTCACACGCCGTAAAAACAACAAACTTGCAGCGCCGGTGCATTACGCCGGCGAGTTATTGACAGAAACTATCTATATTTTGTGCCCGCCGGTGGTGCCGCTTGTATACAAATTGTTTCCGTCAGTGCCTCGTTGTAACTCGAGTGCCCGAGGCCTTTCTCTCTGCCGCCCTAATGCAGCAGACCTCCGACTGCAAAAAGCTAACAACGCGCCCGCGTTCGCCTGCTCTTGCGGGAAAAAATATATACACGCCAACCAAAAAAAAAACCAGCTGGGGAGGGAGCAAATCGGCGCCCCAATTCCTTATTCTCGCTTCCCTTCAGTTCTTTCTTTCTTGCTTCGTCTGCTGCTTTTTTATGTATATGTACAAGAGAGAGATAGAGTAGCGGCGGATGGAAATTTTCCAAAGTCAAATCGGAGAAAATGCGCTCAAGTGTTTTAGTTTTTCCACTTTCTATTTGATTGATCGGAAATTGAAAGCTCTCTTTTGTGTCAAGAGCATATAACAAAATGGAGCAAACTCGCTTTGTTGAAATAAATTTGCATTGTAAATCAAATATTATTGTGGCAGACACTTGATTTCTTTTTAATTATTGTAAAACCAATCAGATTTTCGCTATAAGATGTAGTCAAATCAGTGCATTTTTTTATTGTTGCCGGGAGGAGTCTCAAATCTTGTCTCTTGCTTTGTTTAAATAGGTCAAAAAGTTCCCCACATATCTCTGCACTTTATAATTTTTACCACATTTTATAACTTTTTTTTTATGTAGACTACGAAATTTTGGAAATTTTGAGCAAAATTGCTTGGGCCCTTTCTTAGCCTCCTTAATATCTGACAAGTTTTACTATTTATGTACTCCAAAATCTTTTTTTATCATGAAAATTGATAATTAAAAAAAATTATTATTTATTATTATTATTTTTATTATTATGTAAACAAGAACGTTTTTCTTAAAAATGAATTATTAATACCTGGGAATTTTTCATTGAAATTTCAGACTAAAAATTCCCTTTTTTTGTGTTGAATTTTGAATTTTCACCAGCACGTAAATTTTAATTTAACAAAACTGGCTGTTTATCATATTTAATAGTCACTTCTTTGTTTCAGAGGCCATAATGCCACGTTTTGCCGAGAACATTCCAAACGTGACGGTCACCCTGGGAAAGGATGCGTTGCTGGCGTGCGTCGTGGAGAACCTGCGCGGCTACAAGGTATGCAACCGTGCCCGAAATTCAATTTTTTTCGGCCATTTCCGTTCCCCGAGCTGCCAGCACCAGAGAAAAACGAAAACTTTCACTTGCACGGTGTGGTGCGTCTGAAGTGCGGCTAATTATGCGGGGCAGCAGCTCATTAGAAAGCCTCTTTGTTGTGAGGCGCTCGGCCTCCCAATTGGCCCGTTTTTATCCGCCGGTAGCCGGCTGGATCAAAGGATTATCCCCTTTACCTGCTTTCGCCACCGCCGCTGCCGGAGACACAAAGTTGCCCGTGCAAAAGCACCTTCTTTTTGCGCACACCAAACAACAATAATTTAATAACTATAGTCATGTGTAAAAGCCGCGCTCTTCAAAAATTCTTGCATTCATTGCAATGTTCTGAAACTTAACATAATTATCATGTGTACTGTTGCATAATGAAAAGTTGGCAATTTTCATTATGTTTGTAAGATTTTTCTATGGTTCTTAAGAACATAGATGAAACCATTTGAATGTTCCCAATAGCCAAAATTTTATGTCCCGAAAATCTCAAATAAGAAATCTATGTGAAAATATAATATTGAGTAAACACTGTAATTAACGCCTTTGGGCCCAGCAGGGCCCAGCAGCATCAAGTTATGACTCCTTGTCAGTTTGTACATCACTGAACCTGCGAGAAAAAAAAAGAGTTTCTCTCCCACACCTGACATGTAGTCAATTTGTATTTAAATATTATATGCGCGAGAGTTCGTTCGTATTTTGGGACAGGTACAGACAGACTGACGCAACTTTCGCTTGATCCCGTGGCCAATCTGAATAATCTCATCAACAGCATCAAACGGCGGAATAAAACCAGCGAGAGTTGAGCGCCGCCACCACCGCAGCGATGATTAATTGACATTTGATGGGACGGATTACGTTTCCAACTCTCTCTCCCTCTCTTTCACGTTCATATACAACGTTGTGAAAATTGTTTTGGTTCTCTTTGCAATGAAAGTAATTACCGTTATTGTGCGTTTTTAATATCTCTACTCCCGCGAGAGAGCAAACAAACCGATGAGCTTTTCAATTGTGATGGAAAAAATGCGCAGAGAGCGCTTTTAGCTTTTACTCGAGTTCTCCCTGCTATTCTGGCAGCTTTTACCTGCCAAGGAACTATACGGATGGAAACGCCAAAAGCCCCACTATTTGCCAAACAGATAGACGCAGCAGCAATAATAATAATGAATTCTCCGCTCTGCTCTGTTATGAGAGAGGAAAGAACTCTCTGCTTTTGCTGCTCGAACGCCGGATTATTATCTCTTCTGCGTCTGACTCGACAGTGGATTTTTTTTTCATTTCGCATCCGGATTTTCGTCGAGCGGCGCCAGCAAAAGAGAGAATTACTCTGCTCGCGATCCTTTGTCATTTTCCAAATCGTCCGGCTGCTCTGGATTAGCCCGTTCAGCCGGAAATCATAATATTTGTTATTGCTATAGAGAATTAAATTCCAATACCTGAGGTTTTGTGTTTTATTTTGCAGGTGGCGTGGGTGCGCGTGGACACGCAAACAATCTTGTCGATCCACCACAACGTGATCACGCAGAACCCTCGCATTTCGTTGTCCTACAACGACCACCGTTCATGGTATTTGCACATCACCGACGTACAAGAGGAGGACAGGGGTTGGTACATGTGTCAAATCAACACAGATCCGATGCGCTCCCGAGTCGGCTACATTCAAGTTGTTGGTAAGGCTCATTATTCCCAAGAGAGAGATTCAATTGATTTCATAAAATAGAAGTTAAATGGTGATAATCGTTATCAATCTTAAATTTAAATCATCTGAGCATCAACATTGAAATTTTTTATAAAATATTTTTCTAACAAAAAAATTGACACCCGGGCAGAGAGCAGGTTGCTGCGATTTTTTTTCGTTCAAGTGGATTTATTTTATTGCGTTTTCATAATTGGAGAAAATTGTTTTTATTAAAATTAATAAATGCACTCCTTTGGTTTGCATAATTCAAATTTAAAGGGAAAATTCCAAAAGGAATATTTGTTAAAAATTCCATCAAAAACTTGCATTTCTCAAAAATCCTTTTGTCAAATTTGAAGATAAAATTAAAAAGTTATCCATGTGTCCTGATAATGCAGCATAAATTAATTTATTTTTCTAGTACCGCCGAGTATATTAGACAAAGAGACTAGCTCTGACATGGTCGTTCGGGAGGGCAGCAACGTTTCAATGACCTGCAGAGCAGAGGGCTACCCTGAGCCCTACGTGATGTGGCGACGCGAAGACGGCGAGAACATCAACTACAACGGCGTCGAAGGTAAGCTTTAAAAAAACCATCTCTCGCGATTTTTAATGGCTCAGAAGCACCAACAACTGTTGAGCTCTGGGCAAATAAAATTTGAGCCTTTTACTTTGCCTCTCAGTTAGGCAAACAAGCAAATTTTTAAAACGCGCATAAATATTTAAGCGGCCACTCGACTTGCAGTCTTTCTTTTATACATGGGCACTTGAGAGCGAAATTCCGCAAAAGCGACCCACTTTCCATCTTCCTCTCACCCTCTTTACTTTTTATACATACGTAAGATATGGGCGCGTATACGTTTTATGTGTTTCATGAGGCGCCCGTAAATTAAAGCACCTACAGAGGAGCGGGCGCGCAGCATCTCCTAAATTAAAAAAGTGATTTCGGCGTCTGAGCCATAAATCACCGCAACAATGAGTCTTGTTTTTGCACCCCATTGAGTCTCTCATCTTTATGAAGTGAAGAGCCGGAGTTCATTAATCTTACTTGGCCACTGTTTCAGAGCTTTTTTACACCCCCACACCGGCCATTTTTATCAAAAGTCATTAGGGGGGTCGACCGACCGGCCACGAACAATATGACTTTTTTCTAATGAAATAAAATGTAAAAAATATCGCGTGCCCGTCCGTCCTCACGTGTGACGACGGTGAAAAGGCCACAACGATGACACTGCGGTTAAAAGTGGCAGCATCCACACAAACAGAGGAAGCCTGTTGAGACCGTTCATTTATCACCCCGGCCAGGGACCAGAAGCACACAGTTGTCAACACGCCCGCCCGCCCGCTCGGGCCAAGCGAGGCAGAAAGAGCCGCTATTGCAGGCGCTCGTCTAGAAAACACAAAGTTAAACTGATTGTCAAGGAGAGAGAGGCCTCTTTTTGCCGGCTGCTGCATGGGATTTTAGTCGCAGCGCAATGAATCATAATGACAGTCAAATTAAATTTGCATGCGCCCGCCGAAGTAAAACCAACCGAGATGGCAAGCTTTTTCTTTTGAAGTAAAATGCCTTGTTTCCATACGTGTGGGTGTTTTCAAACTTTGGAAGGTATTCTGCCTGGCCTTTTGTTTTTATACAATTGCCCTTTAGTTCTCCAGGGGCACGGATTGTTTGTTTTTACTACTGTCAAGGCTCAAATAATTAAACTATAATAATTATAAAGTTTATTGCGATATTTAGGAGCACATTATTAGCCGTAAAATATTTAAATCTGAACAAGATCGTTTTTGCAAAATATGACATGAATTTGAAGTACCCAAATGTTATGGTATTTGCCTTCCAGCCCAATTAACTTACAATATAAGCGATGAATGTTAAAAAATCGACCACAAAATAATAATATGCATTGAGCTATTTGGTCGGTTTGAAAGGAATATTATTTAAATAACAAAGTATTTAATATCAATGAGAAAATAATACTGTTTAAATTTTCTCCCTTGCCATCCAAAGGGAATTTTCCTCGATATTTCCCACGCATTGTTTAAACTGAGTTATCCTGGAAATTTAACTAATGCCCACTGAATGGAGGGCCGCAGTTCCCAAAGGCAAAGTTTTGCCCGTCAAAAATCCAAAGCACCGTGAGTGCAAATTTTCTAAATTGAGCACCAGCAGATGAATTTTGTTTGGAACGCGCTCGCTGATCAAAGTGCAGAGGGAAAGAGCAACATTGTGTGCTAGAGAGAAAACAGAGGCGCGCATTTTCAGCCCACTTGAAATTTATCAAAAGGCTCCCGGGCAATTCACAAAATGCGAATCGGCGCGGCGGCCGCAAGTGCTCCGATTGTCGCGCTCACCTGTGCCCATAAATAAAAATGACTGCTCGCAAGAGTGGCTGCGCTTTTGCCCAGAGAGCCCTTGAACTTTTGACGCTCCACCAGCAGCACTCGGCAGAAAAAATTAATGGAGAAATATGTATTTGTATAAATGTGCTCGCACTGTTTGCAGCCAACGTGATCGACGGCGAGGTGCTCAACGTCAGCAGGGTCAGTCGGCTGCACATGGGCGCCTACTTGTGCATCGCTTCAAACGGAGTTCCACCCACCATCAGCAAACGAGTGCTTCTCAGGGTTCAGTGTAAGATAACTTAATTACATTTTCCGTTCTTTTTTTGAAAATTTCCAAATAATTAATTTTCATTTTAACAATTTATCTCTTGGATAAGTTTTTCAACCACAAAATTGAAGAGAATATGTAAAATAATTAATATTTTTCCTCACTAATTAATTTAGGTTGTTTATGAAAATTCGGAAAATTAGACAATTTCTGATGAACTGCATGACTGAAAATAGCGGAATTTCATGTTCAACGTCCTTATGATTTTTTTAACGTTTCCTTCTATATATTTTCTGCAGTTGCAATTTGATTGCGCATCACATAAAAAGAAAACATATTTTGTATTGCTGGTTGAAGTTGCATCTAATCTGAACTGAACACTCGGCATCAATTGAAAAATTCGCTCTCATTTAATTATCTGCTATTATAAGTTTAGTCTGAATCCAGATAAATAAATTAATTAACTTATTAAGATGCGAGAAATAGGTGATCAATTTTTTAATAAAAATTTTGGAAGTTGTAATTGAACTAAAATTTTCTAATTAAGACAAAATTATACATTTTCAAGAAATATAGAATTTTAGAATCACCTAAAATCAATAATTTTTCTCCTCTTTGAGAATATAATAAAACCCTACCTTCATCGATTTAGAGATATATTATGCAACATCTTATTGTTAGCACCCATTTTTACTATTGATATTGCAAAAAAAACTTATAAAAAAAGCTATCCTATATGAAAAAAATCGCGTCAACAAAGCTTAAAAATCATGTTTTAATTTTATTACAAAAAAAAATCTACTATTGTTCACTTACTTCGATTTTTTTCACCTATTTCGCCCAATTAAATCTAATATTTTTCCCATCCTATCATTAAATCTTTTATGGAGTGAGTTTTTGAGCTCTTTGCTTTTGATTGCTTTGTGAAACAAAAACTAAATTAATATTGACCATAAAGAGCCCTTTGTGGTGCGCCGTTTCAGGCCTGATTGCAAACAAAACGCGGATAGTTTTGACAAAAAAAGGTTTCAGCAAAAACGGTCTCATTAAAGCGTTTCACTGGCAGCGATCGCTAATTTGCACTTTGACATAATAATGCATAAACAGAGCGGCGCGAGAATGCGAAATGAGGCAAACACGCGCGCGCGGCTGAATGACGGCCGCGTTAAGCTCGATATTATCGCCGATCAGTCCATCCGTCCGCCGACCGTCCGCGATATATTTTTGCACATTTTTTTTGTGCTGAGAGCCGACTGGTGCGCACACGGATTAATAAAAACAAAGCCACAGGGCAGGTGTATGTACTATGTGTGCCGTCAAATAATCCGCCAGCCGTTTTGATTATGCAAACAAGGCTCAGCGTTTCACGGTCAAAAAGACACGCTGGTGACGCCCTGGCTGAAAGGAGCGAGATGAGCTCGTCGGCCGGCACGCTGATGGCATTACGCTCTAAATCGTTCAACTCAACGGTAGCAATTTTCTGACAAAAAAATAATAATAAATAATAATTCAAATTGTGTGTAATTTCACCAGCAAACGATCAAAAATTATTATTATTTTTTTTTAATTTACATTATTTCCTCATTTGACTTTTTGAAAAGCTCTTTCCCAAAAAGAAAATTACAAAAAATTATTTGAATAAATTTAAAAAATTAATAGACCAATTCCAACCATTTTTATAACTCCACATATTTTTTAAGAACTGTGAAAATAATATTCTTTGAAAAATAAACACAATTATTATTTAACACAACATAAGCTTATAGTTTGATTTAAATATAGAGCTAAACATATGAAAATAGACAAAATTATAAACTAAATCAAGGAGTTTCAGCAAAATTTTTTTATGATAAACCAAAAATTTAATTTAAAACCAAATTTCCATGTCATCAAATTGAACACAAACTACAATAACTAGCAAAGTTGGTATACTTTTGGAAAAGTGTCTTGGTGAAAAGTTTTGGTGGCGTTGGAAAAGTAGAATCTGCCGAAACGGCAGAGCGGCGAGTTTGTGTGCAAAGTATTGCGCGGCGGTCTCTGAAGAGATGGAAATTGCTTTCAGTTCCGCCGATGCTGAGCATCCCGAACCAACTGGAAGCGGCCTACGTGGGTCAGGACGTGTCCCTCGAGTGCCACACGGAGGCCTACCCCACCTCGCTCAACTACTGGATCACCGAGCGGGGCGACATGATCGTGTCAGGTGAGCCGCGCCGCCAAATTGGCACAAACACACGCCCTCCCCACAATGCAATTTCCTCGCCCTTAACGCGAAATGGAGCTTTTCCAATGGCACTTTCTGCTCTTTCCAGAAACAGTTTAATCGAATAAGCAGTGAAAATGCGTTTTTTTTTATCTCAAAACGTATTTCCTAAGCATGGGTATAAAGTCCTTAAAAGACTAGTTTTGTCGGTTTATAAAAAACTAGGCCTCTGTAAAAGTCGAAACAATTGTCGTGTTTCATTAATATTTTGGTAAAAAAGTTAAAAAAGAAACTTTGGATTGCCATCAGTAAATCTTAAGCTATCATGCAACTGAAATTCATTGACTGCTAATTAATGATAAAATAGTAACCAAATTTTGTACTCATTGTTACGTGCAATAATTAATTAGTGCCTGAAATGATTTTGGTCGCATATTTCATCAGACGAAAATCTTATGATAGACTTTTCTCCAATCCTGTACTATTTCCTTTGCAAACTACTTCAAGTGGAAATCTCATGCATGTTAATAAACTTTCACCGAAGTGTGAGAAGTTATACGCTGGGAATTCATAACTAGTGACATAGATTCGTGCGAATTTTCCGTCTCCCACTGCAAATTTGCAGATATTGAGTAAAGACTTGGAGCAAGCCTGCGCTGGAAATTTATTTGCTCGTTAGACATTTGACTGCCTGCTGGCTCACGTGTAATAGACTGTTCGCGCGAGCTTGGGCGCAATTTGCAGTCGGTACACAAATTTGACGCGAAGGCGCTCGCGAATTAATTATTAAGCACACACACGCACATGAACCGTCTATGTTATGCGATCCGATCAACTTAACGGAACCAGGTTGGAATACGAGTAAGCACCAATTAAATTATTTTCCCCAGCAATTATAAATTTCCAACTTGTTCTTTTGCACGGTAAAAGCTTTTATATACACGCTTTTGGATTGAAAATAATATTTCAGTAACGATAACATTATTTATATTCTTATTGTTGACTCATTGTTTTCCATCAAATTCAAGATAATTCATTTACTATTTTTGGGAAATTTTTGATTAATACAAACAAAGCCTGTCAGAGCACATAATTTTACAACGTGAAATAATAAACAACAACATAATTCAAATAAATAACATCGAATTTAGACTTTTTGAACCTTGAGATTTAGTGTTTTTTTTCTTTTACGTAAATTAAGGAAATTTTAGCTATTGGGTGTTAAAACAAAATTAAATTAAAATACAATTTTGTATTTTTCAATTAAATATTATTTTTGCATTCATGGAAGAAATGAACTTTCAAATAAAATTTATTAAAATTATTGTGAAATTTATTTTTATTTAACTTGTATTTATAGTTTTCACGTGAAAAATTCAATGATTTTTTTTATAAGTAATAATTATTTATTTCTAGCTACGAAAAATTTTGTGATATCATTAATGATATTCTTGTCGGTTAAAAAAAATTAGATTTTATTTTATGTTTTTTGCGTTATCACACAACTGTCAAAATTCAATGACGGTTACATTATTTGGTTTATCTCGTAATTTTCCACGCTCGCTTTTCAATCTGCAAATGGTTCACTCAATGCTGAATAAGTCCGCATCTCCAGCGATTTCCAAATAGTCCAAATTCAACATCGCCCACCGCAAATAAACAAACGGACCGACGATTCATCACGAAAATTCGCCTCTGGCGACAGGCTGTTTGCGCTCGAACGAATCAAACTGAAATTAATACGCGTGCTGGCCGCGTGATTGTCAATTAATATTCGCGTCCACGCAGCCAGAAAGCTCTCATGCCATTGTGCAACGGAATCCTATTCCCAACGCGTCAGATTCCGCTTCCTGTCTTGACGCTTGTTATCTGCTGCTGCGAATTTCATTTCCCGACCAAGCGCGCACCGCACACGTCATCAAATCCAGCAGTCGCAAAAACGACGAGACAATGCTTAAGTTGGACTAGGGAACCCTAGTATCAATTTTTATATGTATTCTTTTTTTTCACATTCAAAATTGAATGAAGTTTTATGCATTTTAAGTTTGTTTCTGTTAAATTAATTTATAAATTGTGTACGCATTCATCGTTGGTGATTTAATTAACAATCAATGAAAGAAAATGGAATTTTTTATTTTAGTAATGTGTGCTATGAACCTTAAAGCTTAAAGTATTAAGTGATGAAACTTTCATGTTTGAAAAGTTAAAAATATTTAAAAGTTTTTCTAAATTTTATTACTTTTTAAAACTTTTCACAAAATATTTAAACGTCTTTAAAACTTCGAAATTGTACTATCGCGAAAAGTAATTAAAGTTCATTATTTTATACATTGCAATAATATTTTGCGTGTTGCACAATTTTTAACATTTTAAAGGGGTGGATTTTGACTTTTATCAAATTTGAGTTTGGGATCAAACTGTGCAATTTGGCTGAAATCAGCTGTGGGAGGTTTCATAAAATTTGTTTTTCAGTCGATTTTAGTTCTTTTTACATTAATTCTGATTCCTGACATTTTTATCACTATAAATTTTATTAAATGAATGCAATAAAATAACTAAACTAATCAGAAGACAAAATAAAACATCTATGTAACCATGTGTGAATTATAGAGAGAATTTTAATTCTATAAAATGTTTTCTGCCAGTGGTGGTTTACCCTGGTTTTGACAGTGGTACGCGCGTCAAGTGTTGCGATAACAGCGGCCCGAGGCCCATTCAAGCAGTCTGACGAGCGGAAAAGCTGTGAAAGATCGCGGCCCGGTTAAGAAACGATCGCGCACACATCAACGACAAAACCACCCCGGCGGCGCGTGGAAATATTCCGCCCTTTTCACGCCGCTTTTGCCGTGATTTTCTTCTTTAACGCTCCGGGACAATAGCATTTATGCCAAACTTTGAACGCGGCCTGCAGAGATCAATCATCGATGCACGCGACTTTTTCCCACAAGTTTGAAGCAAAACATAGCTTAAACACGGGAATCTTTGTCTAATTGTATGTTTTATCTGTCGAACGCCAGACATATTATGAAAATTGTACCAGATAAAGGTTAAATATTAAAAATGCTTGGTACCTTATTTTTATATTTAAATTAATTCTACTTATTTATTCTCTCCCAGCAAGTCAAACAGGAATGCAAAGTCACAGAAATTCAAATTACTGCATTTATTGTTTTGATTTTCTTTAATACGAACAGGATAAATTTCCATAAATTCATGGAAAAATTTTATTTTGACCAATATACATATTTATATATTGGTCAAAATAAAATTTTTAAACTACTTTCGGTCAAAAACTAAACTTATGTGTTATCTTTAAAATTACATCGAGATTTTATATTTTACAATTAGATCTAAAATGAAACATATAACTATGACATTTCTATAAAAAAAAGTCTCTTTTCCTGCCTTGAAATGAATCGCGTGTTATACAAAAAAAAAATTGCTTCATATCCCTTGAATTATTAACATTTTGAAATTTGGCAGGCTTTCGCAATTTCAAGCAGAGAAATTAATCCAGCACCTGTTAAACAAAATCGATCTGAATATATATTCGCTTTCATATATATCAATAATAATTCCGTCTCGCCTGAGTAAGCCTTCACCTTTAACCCCGAGCGAAAACTTAAAATCAGATTTTCGCATGAACGACGGCGGCATGCAAAGTTCCGATTCCGCTCGTTTCACCGGCAAAAAGCCCCAAAACCGAGCCGACCGACAAAAGCGTTCGATTATCCGGCCAATAAAACGAGAGAAGCGACCGAGGTGGAAACTCGGTTGGTTTCTGGCCATCGATTCGCAGCGGCTGGTGCGAGGAGAGCAGAGCAGAGGACAATCAGCAAGTCACCTTTCTGGCCGAGATTGGACGGGCTTTGAAGCCGGCAAATTAGGCAGCAGGGCTGTGCCGGGTCGGGTGTCTAAAGGTCGTGCAAATTAGCCCCGTGACCGAGCACAACACAAAGACCTTGCGGGCGGCGAACACGCTCGCACGCAGGCAGGCAGGTGAACGCAAAAATGAGACAAACGCGGCGGCGGAATGCGGGTCGGACTCTCTTTGCATGACTTGCTCTCTTGAAAAGAGACTCGAGAGATCCACCCTCGCACAGAGTTAATTTGCCGCGCCGCTTTTTCGCCGCCGCCAACTTCCAAGAATCGAGTTTCCCAGCAGCAGGCGGGATTTGGGACGACTTGCTGAATTGAAGGGATTACGCTCTCTTTTATATAACAATAGTTGCGTTTTCAGAATGATTTGATGTTGAAAATTGTTTTTCTGCGAATGGTGCTTTGGTGAAAATACATCCTTTGAGCTGAAAAACTTGGATTAGGGAGAGGGTAAAACTTGTTTAAACATTTTGCAAATTTGATGTGTGCTAATTACAAAAGCACTTCTGAAAAAGGGGATTAAATTCAAATCCCATTATTTATCCTCTTTGTTATATTTGCCTCTGATTTCTAAATTGTAGAGGAATTTTAATTTTTAAAAGACCTTTTTGCATTTTAATTAACAAAACATAGAGATGAATTTTGAATGTAAAATTTTGTTTTCAGAGCTGTAACGTTGTATGCAATTAATAAACTGCCTTTTGCGTTGATTCACAAAAACAGATCTTGTTCTATTCTATATCGCTCAATAATAATGAACCGACGCACTTTCCTGCTAAACTATTTAAATAGCTATGCGTGCCCAATAGCTAAAGCAATTGATTTCCAGATCATCAAAGGCCTATTATTTTGGTTGCCCTTCACAAATTAATATTGACCCTATGATGAACGGGTTCTATAACTTGCTCTCCTACAATCATTACAAAAATGGAAATCGGAACAATTAACTTTCAACTGTTACTTATATAAACAGTAAAGATACAATCACTGATTGTGAGAAGTCTAGTCTTCATTTAGGAATGATTGTATCATTTCCAATAAATCAAAATTAGAAAATTAACAAATAAATAAATAATTTCCAAATCAAATATTTTCACTCTGTCAAGTGCCGCCATTATTAAAATTAAACGTGATTTTAAGCCACGAAGATATTCAGTCAGTGGCATCGATTCGCAGTCAGGGAAGATAGGGAAGCTCTCTCGCTGGCCATTGCAAATCCTGCATACATACATATCCCTTTTCTCTCCACTCTCTTTTCTACGGACCGAAAAATATAATAAAAAGCATTCCCGGGGGATTTTGTTCGCGGCACTGCATTCAGCCGGTGAATATTTTTAATATGCTCCATTTCATTCCGCTGTACAAATGAAATTTATTTTCGCCAGCCTGCCGTCGGGGCAGCGGCTCGCTGGACCCACGCTCGGTTGCATAAAAGGATTTCGGGCCATATTGTGAGAGAGCGAACCCATTGTTCTGCGCGCTTTCTCTTGCCCCGTGATATTATATACGGCCTCGTTATAACTCATTGCAGGTGACAAGTATGAGATCTCGTCGCTCGACACCTCCTACAAGAAGTACATGCGGCTCAAGATAAAGGGCGTCTCCAAGAGGGACTTTGTCTCCTACAAGTGCGTGGCCAAGAACTCGCTCGGCGAGACTGATGGAGTCATCAAACTTGAGGGTGAGTGGCTCGCGTTAATTTTCCTCCCACGGCAGGTGCAGCCGCGCATGAAATATTGCCTGGCGCGCTTTCAAAGGAATTGTCTTTTTCGCGCTCGCCCGCTTCGGGCCGTTAAAATGAGAGAAAGAACGACCGTTTTCGCCTCAAAGAGACTCGTGAAAAGAAACCTCTTTTATGTAATTTTCTTTCGCTAAATTTCTTGTTTTGCCATTCTCACTTTTCGTTTGACAAGACGAATTCTCTGAGGAGTGGCGCAGTTGTTGCGAATTACAATTAGGATGATTCAAATTGCCGTATTTCATGCTGATTGAGTTAAAATTAAAAATGTAATTTAATTAAAGTAGATGAAACCTTCTGCAAAATGTTTTTCAAATCCTTCAAATTTTAATGGAATACAATAAAAACTACTAAATTTGTTTCAAATATGACGAAAAAAGTATCATTTTCTAATTTTTAACTCATCCGAACGGAATATTTTCAGTCGTTCGGACCCTGTTTATAACTCAATAATATTTTCTAAACGGCTTGTTCAAACATTTTGAAAATTTGTATTCGGATGCAAAATGACACGGCGCATCTAATGGCTATCTTGGATTTTTTGTCCGGTTGCCTATTTTCAAGGGGCATAAAACTTTATATTTTGACCTTTGGCCAGGGTCAATGACCTTTGACCTAGAAACTTGCTGACCATTGAGAAAAGATACCTTGGTTCATTAACTCCAACTTACTTTCAAGGAAATTAAAAAATCTTCACCCAAATTAATTTGGCAGCAGTTTTAATAAACCCACCGGCGGCCATATTGGATTTTGAAAAATATGAAAAAATTTCATTACTTGAGAATTGTAGGAACCAAAGTATGAACTATCATGTTATTTGATTATAGAAATCAATAAATTCTAAGCGCTCTAAAATTGGATTGATTTTCTCCGAAACGAGAAAAATGCAAAAAACCACGTTTTTTAACATTCAATTAAACTTTTCTCAAAAATTTATGGGGTGACCCCCAATTTTCTGGTGCCAAATCTGTAGCAGGGTTATCAAGGAACATGCTGGTGGGTCACACACCTTTGCCAAAGTTAGTTTCGTTTACTTTAAATGGGATTGAATGATTTTCATAAAAATTGTCCATAAGCGAACCATGTTAAATTCAAACGCGTTTTTCTCAAAAATTTATGGGGTGACCCCCAATTTTCTGGTTATCAAAATGATCCTTATGGCCTAAACTATCAGTTTCTGTGGAGGATATTGCTGCCCTAAGGTGGTACCATCCTCTTTAACTTGAGAATATTCCTTTAAAAATGAAGTAGTGGTGCAAAAAGTTTGTTTTCATTAAAATAAACTTTTTTTAAATATTATTAAAAACAAGTAAAATTTAGTCACTTGAATTTAATTTTATTTTTCAACAGTATACTATAAAAGTTATTTTTAAATATATATACAAAATTAAATTTTTTTTTTTAACTATTTAATTTTTTTGCAATGGAAACAATTATTTGCTTCAAAATAATTGGATATTTATATAATTAATTTTCAAGTGCGAGATATTGTAAATAGCAAGTACATAGGTACGCATCTCTGTGAAAATTTTATGATTTTCATCATCTGTGCGTTCTTCTTTATTTTATATTTTATATTATTAATTCCAACTGATCAATGAAACAGATCAAAGTCAAAAAATTTTAATATTTATTTCTCGGAAGCAAGTTCATTTGAGTTTAACTTATTTTTCTCTTTTTAAATTGCCTGTAGAATAGCACAAAATATGTTTTGTTTATAAAGAATTTAAATTGAATATCTTTACAGAATTCTTTTTTTATAATAATGGGATGTTAACATGTTCCATTATATCAGCTAGTCTATAATTCAACCCGTCACATTTCCCGCCTTGGAATTAAATTAAAAATCATATCATGCACAAAGAATGGCGTTGCTTGATCCTTTAATTTGTGGAAATAATTTTGATAATAATTTGACTTACTGTACAAGCAAGCTGAAAGCCTTCTATGCTTTCTAATGTTTCATCCTTGATGTATTTTTATTGTGCATTATATAACAACAACCAAAGAGATTTTATTGCTGAAGCTAAATAACCGTGAAGTAAAATCGTGTCAAAAAAGCCGTCTTCACCTTATTGTTGGTAGGTTTTGCATTGTTTTTGTTTATCTTAATCTTCATTTTTCGTGGGGTCTCAAATTATCTATTGTTTAACTGTCAGTCAATCAGTCTTTTAACTGTTTTAAAGTATTTTAATTTTTAGTTATTTAAGCGATGGAAAAATTTATTTCATTATTGCATCACCTCCTGCGCTACTCTTATTGTTAGTGGTGTGATTAGAAGATAACCATTTGCACACCTCGGCGTTATTCTTTTCCGCAGCTGTAGGGATGAAAGTGAAAAGTCGTGTTTCTTTCTGTTTGGCAGAAATCCCGGCGCCGTCGACGTCGACCACCTCGACGCCCGAGCCGGTTACCAGCAGATCAGGTGAGAGAGATTTATCTTCGGTGCGGGCCAAAGTGCAGTTTAATTGGTGCGAATCGCGGGCGGCAATTGCTCTTTCCGCGTGTGGCGCTTTCTCGCGCGCGCCGAGCCCCCGAGGCCAGATAAATTTGCAGCCGCCACTCTCGGGCAATTTGTGCCTTTTCTTACCGCAGCACACAGCTCGCCGCCCAGATTTATCTGCCTTAATGTGGCATAAAGGGGCCCGAGAGCCGGCGCGCCGCCTCGCCAAATTTATTCGCCACTCGTTAAATATTTCACAAATTATGCGCCTGGCGCCGTTCCACCTCCGGCCGGTTCCTTAATTGCCCGCATTCGCGCCGAATTAAGAAATGGCGACGGCGCATTCCTTTCTGCTCGCCGACTCGCGTCATTTTTATTCTTGCGCTGAGAAATTGCACTTTTCTCCCTTGGATGAGCCGGAAAATCTCCCACGTTAACAAATTACATCTTTTTTGAATTGAAATTAAGAATCGCCATGAATAAGGAGATTCTCGTTATATTTTTTAACAGCTGTTTTACTCTTTCTCACAGTCTGCTTGTAATAATTATATAACAAATAAATTGAAAATTAAGAAGAAAGTTTTCGTTTTTTTCATAGTCTTCATTCTATTGAGGCAAAATTCAAGTAAATCAAACCTCTATTTTGATTTAATTTAAATTATAATTTAATCTACTTCTTTAAAAGAATACAATTTCACTTTCGCACACTTTTGGCCAATTATCTTAAGTTTTTAAATTTTGCACTTAATTTTGAATAAGAAGAAAAAACTCATAAAGGAAAGAACTGATTAATACCATAAAATTAGTTGGTTGCAACTCTGAAAAAATATGATAATTATAGTCTTATGATACGATCATGAGAGAGTGCATCTGCTTTTGAATCCTCTTCTATTTTTAAGGGAATATGTTGCAAATTTAATCAAAGAAAAAAAAAGTGATATCGAATTCCCTTAAGCTCGAAAAGAAAATCTTACGAGCAAAACGTCAATAACGCATTTTCGCGACATGATGTACGAGCGTGCGGATCATTTTTCGAGTGATTGACTCCCCGTGAGGAGTAGCCTTCGAGGCCAATATTTTAATCCCACTTGCGAAACGTCTCTTTTTCTATTTTTCTCCCAGATTGACAAATGGCTGTCCCCCGGGGACGGGCTGCTGGTGCCGGGGCGAAATAACTTTTCCCAGCCAGCGCACCACTCTCGCTTTCCCTCCTCGTCGCGTCCTTTCTTTTTTCTCTTTCGTCTTGTGCGCACTCCAATTTTCACAAATGCAAAACTTTTCCGACTCTGCCTGTCACTCGACAAGAATTAATGGCGGTTTTATTGGTTTTAAACTCTCGTTGCCTCGCATTAATAATGAATGAACGCGCGGAAAGAGACTCGCATAGAGCGAGAGACTCCGCACGTAATGTCATTATTACTGCTACTTTCTGACTCCAGAGCAAAATGCTAATAGCTCGTCCTCCTCCTTGAAACGGAACATTTCGCCGTTTAAGTACTGCTCCTTGCAAATGTAAAACGGGTCTCTTTTTGTTTTTTGTCGGCGGGTATACAACTGGGACAGCCAGCGAAATAGCTGGCGACGAAAAAATTCCCAGTCTCGTAGGAGTTAAAGTATTTTCGCATGAGCATTTAGTGTTTTAGCTGCAAAAACTCCAAGAATTTGTTTTGCGTAACTTTTTACTTTTTACCGCCCGCGACAGGAATGAATTACCAAGTCGCGATCAGTCCGCTGAGAAATTTTTAAGATAATTTTCCTTTTGTGGATTAAATTTTTTTGTCACTTGCAGGTCGTGGGAAGCAATCTCGTCAACGACACCGGGCAAAAAATGACGTACTCGACCCGCGTCGAACAGGTACTAAAAAGCATTACAAGCGATAATATTTGCGAAAGAGACCAAAATTTTGATTCAATCAAAAATATTAAATTTTATACAATTTTTTGCCAAGTAATTTTAATAAAGTTCTTAAAAAGAAAAAACAAAAACAAAAAATAGGCGGCTTTGCTTTTTTAATACCAATTATTTGTTATTTCTACTAAACACTTGGCTTCAATTTAAACAAATCAAATTCAATTTATTTAAAAATTTAATGTAATCCACAACTAAGATCTCGGTTCCCTTGCAACTTTTTACAGAATACGAGTATGACGACAACAGTTCCGAAGACCCCAGTGGTCCCTACTTCGGCGAGTCTTCAGCCGCTTCAGCCTCTTTGAGTGCCCTTTGTACCTGGACTGGTGTTCTCCTTTTTGTGCTTCACAGGTGACCACGTCTTGAGTTTGTGGCCTAGACTGTCATTGCAGCTGTGAACTGACCAAAGTTCAACCGTGCATATCACAAGTGATAAAAACGAACATTCACGCCAATAATCAGTGAGACTCTCGTTTAATGGGAGTGCAAAAAGAACCAAAGATACTGAAGTCGGAAATTAATACAGTGTAGTGCGCCAAATGTACATAATTATATCTCAACCCAAATCACTCTCAAATGCTGACCATCAATATCATTTAACAAAAGTACATAGAAATTGTCAAATTGTAATGGATAATGTCACGTTCACTTGATAAACTATATCTCAAAAATCGCTTCCAGGGCTAAGCTCATGAAGTGTGCCAGGTTTTTTAGTAGGCTCTTAATTTTAACACTTCGATTTTTTTTTAATTATTTCCAAAATTAAGTTTGCTTTTTTCATGTTTCTGTTTATATCAAACAATTTTTTTAATTCATTTGTGTCCATAAATTATAATTTTTATTAGATAAATTGCCTCTCCCTCACTTCCCCTTTATTTTCTCACCATTAAATAGGTGGCCAAATGAGGCTTAACTATATAATCTCCCGGCAGGCCCAACCACCAAGTTGGCGACCTAAAATGCCCAGCGTCGTCCAACTTTAGGGAAAAGAAAACTCGAATCTTGCGGCAAACTTCGCCTTGCTTAATTGTGTCTTGTCAAAAACTTTGAATATCGAGGGCTAATCTGCCGCCTCCGCTCTGGCACACTCATGTATGGGCTCGCCGCTCTAGGTGTAATTAACCTGCTCACAAAATCAGTCCGCCGAGACTCGAAAACGCAAATCTCGCAGCTTTCCTACCGTGTTTGTAAACCGTGTACGCCCGTCAATAATAAAGAAAAACGGACACGCCGAGTCTCTCCAAGAAGAAAAATGAAACCGCCTTTGCTTTTTCCCACAGCACACCGATCATTTTCAGCATTTTTCCCAGGTCAGAGGAGGAATCTTCCATGCCAATCCATTGATTGGTGTTGTGCGTGCGGACGAGTGTGTTGTCTTTAGAGATTCCTCGCACGTTTATCCCGTCATAAATCAATAGCGGAGCCGCAGTTTTGGCTTTGCCGTTTTGCCGTTACCGCTTTTTCTCGCCCGCAGGTGCCTCGAATTTGGCTATGCCCACGTTCCGCGAAGCAAAACAGCTTGCTGGACACACCGCTAAATAACTGCAAATAACGCCGCACTCAATTACGCGCACTCGCCAGTGTGGACACGAGAGACACAGAAAACATTTTCTCATCAGTTGGCACGTCAACAACAAAAAGGATGTTTGAGTTTGCTTAGTATATTAGTAACAAAATTGTTGATGTTTATGAAGACTAAAAATAACAAAAAGGTGCAAAAAAGGAAAACTAATCTTAACTTTTTTGATAATTTTCAAATTTTTAAAAAAACGTAGTAAATTATTTTTGTTGATAGAAAACAATTTAGATTTATTGATGTGTGACAATGGAAAATCGAGAGATAAATATAATTTTATGCAATCTTAAAAGGAAATGAAAGTATTGTATTTTTATCCAATAATTCTATAAATCATCAATACAAAAAAGAGGCTGTCAAACTAACATTTCTCTTTCAAATTAATTTGATGTTTTTTCCGTCACCCTTTAAAATCTTGTCAGATAAAAACAAACACGCAACACGCCAGGACAAGCGAAAGACAGACGGAAAGCAGCGGTTCTCGTTTATCTGGTATTGAGTAGTCCCCAGGGAAGGAATAAACCAACCGAGCAAGCAACGCACCACGGACAAATTAAACCGGCAGCGGGTGAAAACGATCCTCAATTTCGCTGCGGTCTCGCCTAAGTGCTTTCTTTCGTCTGCCGATATTGCCCGTTAGCGGAGAGAGGAGCGGCGAATTTATCAAAAGCCGCTTTGCCGCCTGATAATATTTCATAATCCGGCGGTATTGGGAACGAAATCGCTCAATTCCACTTACAGCTTTGGCTCGGCTGAAAAAGTCCGTGATCGAATAAAAGTCGCTTTGAAATGTTCTAGAAAATTCTGAACGCTTGTCTTGTTTTAAATTACCAGATTGTCCTTATAAATTGTCATGTAGATATATTGTGTCTTCTTAATCTTCTCTAGGAATTTAAATAATGCAGACACATATGTAGGTGAGATTTAAGAATAAAAATAGAAAATAATCACTTTTTGTTTTACATTATTTGACCAATTTTTTTTCTTGTATGTTTTAGCACGATCTCAAAGCTTTTTAATTATTTTATTTCTTAGATAAAATGTTGGAAGTTCAGATTTGTAATTATATTTATAGATACAAATTTTGTGTATAAATTCAATCACTGTTAATTTATATTTTTAACTTTTGAAATTTAAAAATTATTTAAATTTTTTGTCACATTTGTAATGGAATTTTAATCTCGCTTCACAACAATTTTGCAAGACTCTGAAAATTTCAGGACCCACTGAGAAAAGCAGCCCTTTGCAAGACACACATGGGAGAAGAGTGGAAAATTATTATTTGGAGAACGCGAGCAGCTGAAAGGCAGTTGCGGCAGTGTGTTTGGAAAGTGAGCTCATTTTCCCATCCGCGAGTTTATTTGCTTTACATTTAGCAGCAGCAGTGGCAACTGTTAACAAGCTCATTATCAAACGGTCTTGGCGGCAGCTGCTGTTTATGGACGCAGCCTCCCATCCGTCGGGGCCAACTGTTGCCCACGGTGTCATCTAATTACGAGAGAGAGAGAAAGACGGCGCGGGAGGAGGCCAAGTGAGCGGGGGCACGAGAGAGGCAAGCTAGGCAACCCGCTTGGCACTCGGCACACGCACGCCCAGAAGTGAGGAGGCATCAATCGCGAATAGACAGTCGTGGCACGAATTGTATTACTGTCGATCATGCAGCCTGAATAAAATAAAACCGGCAACCGCCAGATGTACGTACGCGTCTCTCGATCCATGCCCGCTATTGCATTCGGGAGTGATAAAGCGTGTGCATCTCTCATGCCGGGCACACAAAATATAAATAATTATTGACGCTCTAAACATGAAAACAGAACACATACCAAAACCAAATCGCTGCAGCCGCCACAGCAATATATGCGGTAGTCGACGTACGTGCAAACTTCTGCGGTCGGCATTTTCCTTTCACGAAAACGTTCGTGCTGTTTACGTGATTTTTGTGCTCGGTTTTTTTCCTCGGGACTTGTATATCCATGCATAAAATTTTGGATTATTCTGGTATAGTTAAACATCTGTTTGCATCTATATTTAATTTAATTAACTTCGTTTTAGTAATTTAGATAAAATTTCTCCCTGGAATAGTATAATTAATTTATTCAATTTATGAAAATATCACTCTTAATTACCGTCTTTTATATGAATATCACTCTACGCTGTATCAAGAAACACGATTTAAGTATATATGCAACATGAAAGATTGTGAAGCTGAAAGTTTTGCCTACAGGCTCATCGCTTTATGCAAATAACTAAACTTGATTCTGCCCAGATGGATGCACTTCTTCTTTTGCAGTGAGTGCAAGTAACGATCTCGCTCTCTTAATAATCTCCTGCCTTCTCACTCTCTCCTTTCCTGAGCGCAAACTTTACAACTTTACTCTCATTGGCACGCGTCGTGCAATTTTTCTTTCCTCCGGCTCTTTCCTTCTCCGGTTCAAAACTTTTGATTGATTGACGTAGAGACAAATTCATAATCGATACTTCGTTAAATTTATTATGCGCAGCTTAGCTCGCCGCAGGCTGCAATAATCAACTAACCTCTATATAGAGTCGCAAAATTAATTGAGACCTTAAAAATCATGGCCTGAACTTTTTGCTTGAATCTCAGGAGCTTTTTATGAGGGCATTAAGTTACTCACTCGCGCAAGGAACTAGATTATTGCACTCGAATGGGTGGCTGAATAATGTAATGGCGAGCCAAGGAACAATTTTGTCGTCAAAAATGTGTACCGCTGAAAAAAGTACAGCTGGCTTGGCATCCTCCCTTATTTTTTGCTCATCCCCTTTTGTTCTCGGCAACACCAGCCAGCCGGGAGGAAAGGAAAAGAAGACGAGAGAAGAAGTGATTTATGGAGCAACTCATGTGTGTACAAGTCAACAAAGGCTGGCTGTCCACTGCCAAATTGTTTCCGACCTTCGAAACCCGATAAAGGGGCAACGGAAAGGGCGAAAAATGCCTCACAAGGCTTGCTATAATTGAGCCTCATTAAACCTGAATGCTTCAGGCACTTAATTATCTCATAGAGTTTTGTATAAATCATGAGCAAAAGAGGGGTCCAATTTTGCTAGTTTCTATAATTTTTGTTAAATTTTATATTTTATATTTTAATTACTCTACAAGAATGAAGGGACCTTAATTTTCATAAAAAGAAGACCAATACATTATTTCATTAATATTTAATGTCTTGCCATTTAAAATAAAAATTAATTTTACCCTAATATCCTTAAAAAAGAAAAACAAGTAAACAAAAGTGCATCCCTCTATATTTGGTTTGATGCGTGCGTGCAAAGCCAGCCGTGCTTATCGGCGCTCTCCGCAGCTCGATTTACGACAGACAAGTGAAAAGTGGCTCTTTATCGGCACTATTGAGTGCGCAACTCTTTTTTTAACGGCCTTGCCGACTTTACGATGACTGCGTTCTGTGGCGAAACTCAATTTATCGCCTTGAGGAGGAGTCGGAGGAGCGCAATGATAAGCGTTTATTATATTTGGCACAGAGAAAAGACGAGAAAAAGCGTCTCCTTCTTTTCGCCCTCTTGTTGGGACGTTTGCATGCAATAAGCAAAGACCCAAATAGTCAGTAAACTCCCAATCAGACAAATATTAAAATACACATTTTAGTATATAAGGTGGTAAATTTTAATGTGTAACTATTTTTTCATTTTTATCAAGTGAAACATTATTCAATTATTATTATTTTATAAACTATATTTTTGTTTGAAGAAGTTGACACTCGAGGAGATGATCATGGGAATGAAGATATATCTATATTTTTTTCCATATGTAGTACAATTTCTAATTGAAATTTTTATAAATTATATTTAATAAACGTAATTTACTTTATATGTTTAATGTTTGAAACAAAATTTTATGCAAATTGTTTTGAAAAATTATTATCTGTATTTTTATTAATTATAAATCATTTTTAGGATTTGCAGTCAAATTTGCAAGAAAAAGAAATCATCAAAAATTAATCGTCTCCCTTCTACCCCATAATCTGTTATTTATTCATCATGTCCTTAATTATTCAGACTTCCTGCGTGAATAATTGAGAAGAATAGATGCTATCCATCTTTAAAAAATAAATAGAGGAAGTGCGTCCGTGTTTGATCTGATAGAAGTCTCAACGTCAAGCCATTTACAAAAAGATACTAGAATTGAAAATCTACTTTTCGGCTCAATCAATACCAATGGCAATGGGCTTTTCGCCGTTTCTCACTTTTGATCAGACTCTCTGACATGTGATTTCCATATTTTTCGACGAACCTTTAGCTTCTTTTGAGAGAATCATCAGTGTCGTCGGAAAGTTGTCTGCGCGCGAAAGTTTGCACTTTCTTCGTCACCAGTAATTGCGGATATATGTTTTTGGTTATACGCGTGTGTGTCCCTGCAAAGTGATGGATGCGTCTTGAGAGACTGCGAAACAGCAGCACCAGCTTGCGGTCTAGATGAGCGATGGATGGATTTATATGAAAGCGTCATTCCGTCCGAGTAAAGGGGCCGAGAGAGAGATATGCGGCCCAAACCTCATTATTAAGACATTACCACTGCCTTTCTGTGAAATTAGCCAAGAGCCGTCATTGATAGCGATCTCTTGTTATTCTCATATATTTTAAAAATCGCATGCTTGTGCTGACTTTTTATCTCAAAAACTTGTCAAATTTTGACTACCATCTTACTTAGAGTTAGACAATAATTGAATAAAATTATGTCATTAAAAATTAGAATTATCATCTATATTAATAAAAAAAAAAATTTAAGTTATTGGGAATAAAAATGTTTTGTTTTGCAATACAAATTTTGCACCTACAATTTTGTATTCATAAATGTTGTATTTTAAAGAGAAAGTGCGTTGGGAAAAGCTCGTATGAGTGCGATAAATACTTGAGCCTGGCATCGTGGCGTGAATAACAAGAGGGCTCAATCGCGATCCGTATGGAAATATGTGTACAGAAAGCGGGGTGAAAATAATAAACGCGGTCATCCAAACGCCGCGCTCAGAATATTTTTCACGAACGCCGAGCATTGGGGTTGTTTTTCACGGCCGATGTCGACCCTCCGCTAATAGTCAAAACCACTTTTCTGCCCATTACCTGCTGCCAGGCCTCTGCTTCCATTTTCCAATTCTCAATGCGCTCGATGCACTATCCTGGCTCAACACAGAAAAAGGAGGCAACTTTTTCTTTCAATACCACGCCACTCTGCTTTTATTCAAGGCAGCGCAGCGCTGGGAATTGACAATTACGATGGGCGAATCACCGTCCTTAATTACACGCCAAACATCAATCACAAGTTTTCAAAAAGGAAACTTTGGTATTGTTCATCCCACCCTTCTTCTAATCATTACTTTTTTCGTGTTTTATCTGCAAATTATATAAAACTTTTTGTGCATAGAGCATAGAAAATCAAACAAATGGGGGAACCAAGAATTTTTGCAGGAAAGTTAGAAAAAAAACTGAATTAGTAGCGATAATGATACCAGAGCAGACCGGCAATGAAAGAAAACTTTTGCTACTTTATTATTAAACTGCAGCAAGTAATAAGGCATGAAATTTAATTTATAATCACAACATATCAGACTGTAATCGACTGTAATTAGATTAAATTATTTGTGCTTATTGCTTGCATGCTTGCAAAATAGATTTAAATAATATTTTGTATAAATTTTTTTTATCAAATTATTAAATCATTGATGAAACAATTGTAATGAATGAATTATTTACTTGTTTTATATTTATTTACTTTATTTTTTATAAAATAAAGGTTTCTTGACGGAGATATAAACCAATTTAAAATTTATTTTTTAGGAAGGAAAAAAATTATAAAACAGAAAATAAATTTATTATTTAAATATTTCATTATATAGTAATATTCTTCACAAATGTCAGAAAAGAGCTTCTTTGAGTTCTCTGAAAATTAGCTTAATTAGCAAAATATTTATTTATAAGTTATAAACTTATTTACATGCATATTATATCATAAAATATGAAATTAAGAACGTTATAAGGTTATTACCAATCCTTTTATGGACAAGAATCAAGAAAGAACAATTCCTTGAAATAATTTTTACCCTTGTTTCCTTGTAGATGACGCTTTGCCCACGTGTGAATTCGTCGGAGTGCTTTTCTGCATTTTTCGGCGGCAGCATCCGGTTCGCAAGTCGGCAGGTGCTGCACTAGAATATCGAGGAGCGACGAGTGCGATTCGTTTGGATTTAACAAGAGGAGCTTTTTCTCTCACTTGTGCGCGCCATCGACGACGTACGTCATTAAATTTCTTCCTCGTCGTTATTTTCGCTGGCAGCTGCTGGGCGAAATTTTTATGCAGGACCCCGACGGCGACAACAAGTGTTGATTATTTTCATTGCAGAGCATCTCTCCAGTCGCGGCTCAAAGAAAGTGAGCTGCACACACACAGGTCTCTATCCGTGCTGATTTTAATCTGCTCGTTCACCCTCTCTCTCGCCGATATAAAAGGAAGAGCAGCTTGCCTTAAAGGGGACAATTAGGAAATCAGATTTGGCGCCAGCCAAAGGGAATTAATTAAAGCCTGAACAAACTCGCAAGCGGACGAAAAGACGGCGGCGGCGGCTGAGAGACGCAGGACGTGATCAAGTTGATTTTCAAAGGCTCTTCGCTGCGTCGTTTCTCGATAGAATAAAAAAAGGAAATTGGAATAAATATTCAACGGTTTATCTTGTGACAAAAAAAATTGTTCTTCCAAATTTATTGTTAATTTCATGTCCAAATAGAATTATTGGCTTGGAAATATTTGTTTGAAAATTTTATTATACATTTTGGAAATATATTTTTATTAAATTGAGTAAAATTAAATAATAAGGTAATGAGAAGGTCAAAGTGTAGGTTAGATTTTGAAAGATAACTTGCCATGAAGGTCTAAATAATTATTACAATCCTTAAGCAAAATTCAGGAAATTCTTAATTTCAAATTGGTCAAGTGGATAACAACGTTGAAACAATAATAATAAGTGAAATAAAAAATCAACTTAGAAATATCTAAAGATTAAATTAAATGGAAAATGAGAGCATTACGTTGCATAAATTATTTTAAATGTCTTTAAATTTTAAAAGGCACACAAGAGATGAAATTTTGACATAATATGCTTATGCAGTTTTATCGTTCCGTGTTGTGTTTGGGGAAATATTTAGCAGGCGCAGAATATGCAATTTGCATAGCATGAAAATAATGCAGGTTGCATAAGCATTCAATATAGTCTCTGGAGCATGCGCTGTGACCAGCGCGCGCTTGAACAGCTGTCAGCGGTCAGGAACCGCAAGGGAGAAATGAAAACAAATCATTCAAATCAATCGCACACACGACAAAATAATGCCGAGATCGTAATGATTGTGGACTATGATTGCAGTTATTCTTCTCTTATATTGACGTCGAGGACAAGTTTTTCTTTTTAGTGCTTTTACTTTTCTGTTGATGGATTGCTGAAATCTGCAAATAAACAATGAACGAAGGAGAAATCAAAGGTTTGTCTGGTTTGTCAAGTCTATTGATGAAATTTAATTAAAATTACACTCCTTTCAATTTAGATGCCTTTCGAGACTACCTCATTGAACGGCACTCAGAGGAACTGCTCAAGATATTGCAAAGTGAAGATAAAATGCAGCACTACTCTGTGACAGTCAAGTCGGTTTCTTTATTTTTATATAGATTTTATTTTAAATTTATTTATCATATGTTAAATTTCCAGTTTCATCAGTCTGTTTGAAACAAACTATGACCTAGGCGATGGTCTTTTATCCAGTCCCTCTGAATACTTGCAGATTTGTGATAAAGTGCTGATCGACTGCCAGGCATTGGTCATTTCTCAGCAGCCGGATGAAATTCGACACCAGTTTACCACAAAATCAAAAATCCATACAAGATTTTCATGTAAGATTTTTATTTTAATCACTATGTAAATGGATTTCAATCAATTTATTCAGCTCTGCCTGCGTGTCCTGAGCTGCACCGAACAGCTTTCCCGCGGAACGAAGATGTGAATAGCTTTCTCAGGGTCACTGGAACAGTGGTCAGGACTTCGGTAGCAAAAATGCTTGAATTCCAGAGAGTTTACAGATGCAAAAAATGCAAATTTGCCAATACTGTTATTGTAAAGAAATGTTAACACTTTGAACTGACTGATTAATTGATTTGATAATCTCCAGGCCGACTACGAGCTGAATTACTGCATTGTCCCTCCTCGCAAATGTGGGCATCCGGACGGTTGTACGAATACAAGTTTTGAAGTTCTGCAGCCTGTAGACGGTCTTAATTATAAAGATTTTCAGGAAATCAAACTCCAAGTATATTTAATTTAATTCGTGATTGAAGAAATAAATCTCAATTGCGTAACTTTTTGGCAGGAGCAAGTGACAAAGCTGAGCATCGGCACCATGCCAAGGTCAATGCTAGTGACCCTTGAAGATGACCTGGTTGATTCTTGCAAGCCCGGAGATGATGTTGTTCTATGGTGGGAAATTGAAATTTCACAAGCCAAAAACATGTTAATTAAAATTGTAGCGGAATTGTGAGCAGACGCTGGAAAAACCTCGGCGCCCACAAACGTACAGACATTGAACTGGTCCTGAAGGCCAACCACCTTCAGGTGTGCAACAACCAGCAGACGGCCGTCCTTGTGACCAAAGAAACGCACGAGGAGTGTCTGCAGTTCTGGCGTCAGCATTCCAAAGCTCCTCTGGTAGGCCGGGATCTGATATTGGCCTCCATGTGTCCGCAAGTCTTCGGACTGTACATCGTCAAGCTGGCCACTGCCATGGTCTTGGCTGGCGGCGTCCAGAGGCTGGAAGAGTCGGGCACCCGGATCAGGGGCGAGTCCCACTTGCTACTTGTTGGCGATCCAGGTACTGCCAAGTCTCACATTCTCCGTTATGCAGCTCGACTTGTACCCAGATCCGTTTTCACTACTGGCATTGGCTCAACTTCTGCTGGACTCACAGTCACAGCTGTGATGGTGAGTTTATCTGTGAAATTATAATTTATTTTAATTAAATACTATCAATATGTTGGATTCCTGAAAGAAAGAAAATACAATTTTGAAGATATTTTTATCCCTTATAGAGGATACTTGTTAACTAATGTTAAAAAAGCTCATTTTTGAGGACTGAAATATAATTTTTATTATAAAATAATTTCACTTCTTTACATGCTTCTAAATTTTATCTGTTACGTTTTCTGGTGAACAAATTTTGGGTAGTGGAATTCTGCTGCACTGATACCTTATTTCTGATTAATGATTTTTGGTAATATAAACTTTTCTGCTCGATAATGAGTTTTCATCATTTTACCATTTCAACAGGAATCTGGGGGAGATTGGCAGTTAGAGGCAGGAGCCTTGGTACTCTCAGATGGAGGCATTTGTTGCATTGACGAGTTTAATTCAATCAGAGAAAATGACCGAGCCAGTATCCACGAGGCCATGGAACAACAAACTATTAGTGTTGCAAAGGTTTGATTTTATTTGGTCTTTGGAGTGAAATTATTTATTTTAAAATTTTAGGCTGGATTGGTTTGCAAGTTAAACACAAGGTGCACAATTCTGGCAGCTACAAATCCGAAGGGGAAGTACGACCCGAATGAGCCAGTGACCGTCAATATTGCAATCGCCAGTCCATTGCTGAGTCGGTTTGACCTTGTACTTGTGCTTCTTGACTCAAACAATGAAGAGTGGGACAGGTACACAGTTATTTCTTCTACAAAATCAAGTAATCCAAATGTTTTTTATGCAGAACTGTGTCTGGACACATTCTCAAAGGCAAGGATCCAACCAAAATGGAAAATGCAAATAGTGGAACTCTATGGGACCTTGACAGGATGCGTTGTTATTTATGCATAATAAAAACGTTGAATCCGAAATTGAGCAAAAATGCAAATCAGATCTTGAGTCGCTACTACCAGGTGCAGAGAAGGACCGACAACAGAAGTGCAGCTAGAACTACTGTCAGACTGCTGGAAAGTTTGATTAGGTATTTATAAATAAAGTGTGACATTAATTAAATTTATTCATTTCATTTTTGCAGATTGTCACAGGCGCATGCCAGGCTGATGTTTAGAGAGGAAGTCACAACAATGGATGCTGTAACTGCAGTTATGTTAATGGAATATTCGATGCAAGGAGCTGCAATTCTGACTGGATGCAACATCTACCATGCATCTTTCCCGAGAGACCCGATGGCCTCTTATCGAAATCATGGTAGATCTATTTCATAATTTAGTGAATTTGGTCTAAATTAAATTTTGACTTAATTTCAGCTTCTATCATTCTGGAGAAATTGGGCTTGCACGAAATCCTGCAGGCCGAGCTTGACCTCCTCGATAATGGCCCTAAAGATGACGAACCGAAACCATCAGCAAGTGGTGGTGGTGGGAGCAGCGATAGATTGGAGTTCATGTCTCAGTTCCAGTCAAACTCAAACATGCAAAAACTGAGCAGCATTTTGAAGAACATTCGGCAGAATCGGGACAAGACAGCTTGTGAAGTGGTCGAGCACCAAAAAAATCAAGGCCCGGCTGCGAAGACGGCAAAGGCGAAAAGACCAAAGAAAGCAGCTGCCGTCAGAGGTCCATTCTCCGAATCTTCGTCCTCTGACGAAGGTGAACCAGTTGTTATTACTGGAGACGGTGAAAAAGAAGAAGCAGACAAAGAGCAACAAGGCCCTCCACAGAGGAAGAGAATTCGGATGATTGAGTCAAGCTCAGAAGATGAGAGCAAAGTAGAGGAGGAGCAAAATAAAAAGACTGAAGATGTTAACAGACAGAAGCTATTGGAGCTTCAAAAGTTTGCTTTTGCGAAAAAGTCTTCCACCAGACAAATACCTAGTACAAGCAAATCGTCAAATATATTTAATAATCCTATATCATCAAAATCATTCCATCCTAAAAGTAAAAGTCTTACTCCAATTGCAGAAGGTACAGTTAAACAAATAAAATGATTATTTATCTGTAAATAATAACTCTAATTTTTCAGCCTCTTCCAATGAGCCAAAAATGTCGAAAACAATTTTAAGTGCTCCTGAGGAACTGCAGGATGAACCAATTGATGAAGAAAATAAAGCCCCAGCTAATGCTATTCCTCCAGGTATGAAAGGATTTTTTTTTTACATTTTGAAGTAGTAATAAATAAAATTTGAAGAAACAGTTAAGAATAGTTCCAGGGTTGCACCACTTCATTTTATTGCTTTAAAAGCAAAATATAAAATTCCCCCACTGGATCCCAATTTTTGGAAAATTAAATTGTGACCATGGATTCTTATCATTTTGATGTATTTTGACAGTCAGCTCATTAAAGGCCAATGACACTGCAGACGAAAGTGGTTACAAAAGCTTTTTGGCCTCGCCTGTTGCCTCGACACCTCAACGAACATTATCAACCCTTGAGAAGCTGAAGAAGTTTGCCTGTAAAGCAAAGTCACCTGAATCTGATATAATCCCTGAACATGAAAAAAGTGCGAAAGAAGTTCCTCCCAAGAAATTGTCATCCATTGAGGCGCTGGCTAGGTGTGGGAAAAAGCTGAGTCAAATGTCCAGAGACTCCAGAGCCTCTCAGAGCAGTGCAACTCAGTCGCCAGTGGTGCAAAAAACATCAAATCCTTTCTTGGACGATGACGATGATGATATATATTTCAACCTACCATAACAATATTTTATTTTAAATAAAATGAAAGATAATTCAAAATTTAAATGTGTCACAAATTTACATACTTGCAACAGGTGCCACGGTGCCACGCCCTGATGCAAAAGACAGGGAAGGGATTTTGATGGGGACTGATTGTGAGTTAAATTAAGCAAACAATGGCCACATTGAAAAAACTGGCCAAAATTGAGTGTCTAACTCAAAATTACATATGATCATATAACAACAAGATCTAATGTTGTAAAAACGTGTGATCACTTTAGTCCGCAAGAGATGCAGACGCAGATTGCTATTATGTCGTTGGGACAAACGTGTTATGCGAGGTGGCCCCCACAACTTCTTTCTTGTCGCTGTTGAGTATTTAATTCGAAGCAGATCCAAATTGCACATTTGGCACATTCTGCTATAAATTCGATTGTTATTTGGTTTATTAATTTTTAATTTAGGCAAAAATTATTCGTCCACTTAAATTTTAATATCTCATTTAATTGTACTTATTGTTTAATGATTCCCTTAATTTCTATATTTTTAGAATATATCCCATAAGCGCATTACAATTATTTTTAGCAAAATAATTATTTTTTTATTCTCCATTCATGTTACATTACATCACAAAAAAGTACACTCCGTTAAAAAAAAAGAAGCGGAATCGGCACAGTAAAAGTACGACAGAAAATATTTTACACTTGTATGATGGGATGATAGTTGATACTTTTTCAAGAGAAATTTTTTGCATTGCAGATATAAGTGCCTTCATTTTATCAATATTTAAAATTAATTTTTTTTAAATATCTTTACACATACAGGAGTAAAAATAACTAATTTTGGAAACTTTACAGATTTTACAAGAATATTTACAAAATTTTCTAAAAATAAAATTTCTAAAAAGTTAACCAAAGAAGGAATGATGGTGTAGTGGTGGAACTCTGGGTAGGATGGCGGCCAGGAAGTTGGCCTGTGCTGGTAGAGCAGGCGGCCTCATCACTGTGGGCAAAATACGCAGAGGGTGAAGTTGCGTGGCAGCTCCGTGATGGTGATCCCGGTACGGGCTCTGCGAGGTGAACAGGTGTGCGTCGTGAGCTGAGCAGAACAGTCCTGGCGGGCTTGAACCTTGTTTTTCTACAATGAAAATAATTATTTATTCTCATGCTTCATAATTCTTTAATTTTATTTTTATAAAACACTCTTACAGTAAAAAAGAAATTAATTTGGAGAAATGAATTAATTAGTAAACTGACCGCAGAGTCCGGCGTACCTCCTGGAGGGGGTCAAGTCAGGGCCAGAGCAGTCAGACTGCCCTGGTTGGTAGAGATGCTCGCCCAACACGTTACCCCTGCGGACAATAAAAAAAAACTTGCTGCGCGTCTCTGATTTATTGAAAAGCATAAATCTCTGCACTTGCGGTTCCTATTTAACTGGCAGAGAGTTATGATTAAAAATAATCACTGACCCTGGGCCGTAGTTGCAAACATAGAGTTTAGTGAAACCTCTCTGCGGGTCTTTGAAGTACGAGTAGCCGCAGCCAACCAGGTAAGTGTCGCTCCAGACCAACTAATAAAAAATTGTTACCATTAATATTATATTTCTTTAATTGTCTTTTTTTTCTTAAAAAAAAAAAAAAAAAAAACTATAATATTGGCTATTCAAATTAAATTACCTGAGAATAGTGTCCTGTGTGTTCACTGAAGTGGAAATGCTCAAGATCTGACCTCCGTAGACCCCATCGCATCACTTCACCAAACCAGTCTTCAATCTGCTTTCGAAAATTTGGACCCGGTCCCGCTGGGCTTGGGACGCCGTGTGTCCAAGTGGCTGCTACATTTTGGCCCACTGGAAATCTACCTGCGCACATTTCCTTGTTATTTCCAATTTATAAATCAATTGCTTAGATTAATTAATTCAAATTATGCAAACAAAACACAAAATGTTTTTCTTGGACCTTTGAAAATGTCACAATATCAATGTATCTTGTAACGACCGCTACGTTTTTCTGCGTTTATTTGTGAATGAATTTTATTTCTTTTGTGTGGAGAATTGACGTCTCTCTGGATTTGACAGAATTATTGCCTCAATTAGCTAAATTTAGTAGCAAACACGACAGGGAGCAGCGGAATTATATATTTATTTCTGTTTCAGAGGCCGAGAGTGAAGGTTTTTGTACATATTTACGGCCTCTTCTTTTTCTCACGGTGTCGAATTTTGCAGAAAAGTGTAAAATCTCACTTGTTGATCTCTCCGTGTCGTGACCCACCGAGCACTGGTCGGCCCACCTTTGGGCGATCGCCGCCAGCTCATCATCCCACACCTGAATTATAAAATAAAAAAAATTGTTAAATCAATATCTATGCCACAAAAACAACAGAAATAAAATAAAATTAATTAGTCATTTATGAATATTTTATTAAATGTAAATAGATTATATTTGCAGTACATGAACCCAAATATTTAGTCATATAAATTATATAAAATATTTAAAACTTGTACAAAACAAATATAAATATTAAATTTACTAAAAATATTTTACATAGATTACAAATAATAATCAAAACACTGAACCACAAGTTTTTAAAATATAAAATAGTTATAGAAAATAAATAAAAAAATTAATTAAAAATATAATTTTAAAATTATAACATAATTGTAAATTTCTTTTAAAACCGTTTGCGTGCTCAAAATAATAAATTTTTGTATAGTTAAAATAAAATATTATATATGCATACATTTAATTGTATGCAATTGACGATGTATGTGATAAAAATATTATATTACTTTATAAATGTGCCAATTTTAATTTGTAATTTTTGTATTTTATTTATCTTTGCACGTGTATACCAGACGGGAAGAATTTGCGAGTTTAATTTTAATTAGGAGTCGGGCAGGTCAGAGGTCGGTCTCAGATCATCAGGCGTGCGACACTCGCGGCTGCTCTCCAGCCGTGACCCACTCTCGATCTTTCTCTCTCGTCGAGGCCTCTCGATGCACCTTTTCTAAAAGCAGCAATCGATTTGGCCGATGCGAAATATAACTCGCCGAAATTCAATTTGCATTTTGACAGCAGCGAGAGGATCTTTGTTTGTTTTGCCTTCTGCAGGAGATCGAAATCGCGCGCAAAGAACTCTCGGTGCCAACGACGGGAGGACAGGTGGAATATAAATTAAACTTGAGCCACGCGGCAGATACGCGATAACCTTTGCGCCCATTCATTCACATTGCGGGCCGATGAAAATGTGTGCGCCGCCAAATGCGAGCGTGGGCGCACAAAAGAGCAGGGACAAGCGCTTCGCTTTTTTGAACTCGCGAATTATTTTGTTCTGCCATGAAGCAGCAAGTTGCTGCCTTGCTGCTCATTAATTTTGCTGTACATTATTCACCGCATGCGCAGCCAAAAGATGAATAAATTTTACACAATCAGGAAAATTATTTTGCTTAAAAAATATAATTTTTAATAACTTGATGCAATTAAAAATATTAAATTGAGGGTAAGAATAATAATAATAATCACCAGTCGTAATAATATAAGTTGAACAATATCTGATTTCAAGAAAATTTGTAATCTTAATACGATAGTTTTAAATGTTCATTTTTTTAAATTTTGAAATTTTAGTTTTAAAATTAGCTGAAAGTTCCCCTGTTGTTGAAACCCTCTATTTTACCGTGAAAATGGGGCAGAAATTTTTTTAACTAAAGGTTAAAATAAGCCTTATTTTCGCGTATTTTAAACAAATTTATTATAGTTAAAGAAACTCTAAAAACCTTCTCAAAGTTATTTTTTACACTTTTGTTTTCCCTGCTGGATTCAATCACGTTTTGATATTTGTATTGATTATGAAAAGCAAAGAAGGCTTATGAAGACAAGTGACAAGTTAAAGAACTTGAAGAAGGAGGTAGTGTTTTTATTGGTTTGGAAAGGAATAATATTTAATTTTTTTAAATGCCAGTAAACGTTTATTTATTACTCATTTTAGTGTTCATTAAGATAAATCGGTAATGGGGAGAATTGTTAACAACATGAAGACTTTCTTGCGTGATTTTAATGAAAGGAAAATCGTCTGTCGCCTCTTTCAGCCTTGAGACGCAAGAAGAGCGGCACGAATAATTAAATTATGGGCTAATTTAATTTAATATCGGCCGTGGATCGAGTCAAGGCATCCGTCGTTCCTGTCGCACTCGCTAGACAGGCGCTCGTTTTGCAATTTTTTGCGCACACATGAAATATACATGTGGTGATTGAGTTGCCACTTTTCAACTTTTCAACGAGCGGATGGTGATTCATGCTAATTAAATCGTAAATAAGCGGCCGACGGGAGGCGGCGCGGATTGTTGTTGCGACTTTTTTAATTTGCGCGCAGCGTGAGGCTCGATTGATTTATCGCCTTCAAACAGCGCCGAAATGCCAATTTTTTGTAAGCACAACATGCAAAATTCTTATTCCAATATGTGAGCCATCTGTAGTTTTTGCAATATAAATCAAAATTTGAAGGAGTTTCAGTCAAGGAGCACAATAAATTCTCACTTTCACCGCTTTGGAAGTTGTTTGCACGTTTCCATCGATTATTTCAGGCATAAATTTTAAATAATTGTTAGCGGCAGGTGCTTCATCACTAGCTGTCCAGTTCCATTAAGATAAGTTTAAAGTATGTAAGAGCCTAATTAACACATATATTCGCATGTAAATTTAATAAATTTGGCCATTTAACTTGATATTGACAGTTTTTATAAATATACTTATAGCGCAACATTGCAATGGAGTCGTGGAATCTTCTGTTATATATTGAGACATCATCGTCTAACAATATAATAAGATCAGAAATAATTAAAGTGGAGTGTGAGCGTCACCATTTAAAACGACGAATGATATATATGTATATGCTTATAGAGTTATAGGTTCATATTATATTAACCTCAAATTATTATTCATTCAAATTTAATTTAGGAAAGATAAATAAATACAGTCTGAAAATCAAGGTATTAGGAAGAAAAATCTTTTGAAAATATTTATATTATTTTTCAAGGATTTTTCACATCTAGCTTGCATTTTTGTTTTCATTCCTTGTTATTCATTCTACAAGCATTACTCGCAAATATATTCAAAAAGTTGTATTAAAATTTGAGCTACTAAGGTAGAGTGAATATATTAAAATGCACAGAAAAAATCCTCTCATGCTTTTTCCTGCACAGCGGTTGGCAAGCATATATTGTGAGTGCGCTTCCCGACAGAGCAGAGGCTAAAATGCAAATGAATCAGCAATGGAAAAGCGTGCCTCTCGCTGTGACACGTTTTGCAAAATTATATCGCGATTTTGCCTGGTCTGGCCTTTCACAAAAAGAGCGCGGATTATTTTCTTCGAAGCGGAAAAACATATGCGCGGCGCTGTGTTTTAAGCTGGATCATCATTTTTAAGCCTCTTTTTGAAAAATTGATATTTGTTCAGAAAGCCTGCCATTAGATGAATTTTTAGACTAGATCCGTTCCAAAAATAGCGAAGCTTAAATGATTCAAATTTAATATTACATGAGAACCAAACATCATCGTTTTTAAAAGAAATATTTTTACATCGAACATTGAAAGTTAACCTGCAAAGTGGATTTCATGAAAAATTTAAACTGAGCTTAACCATATATATGTTAGGGAAAAATTAAATAATTACAATTAACTGACCCAAATGGTGCCCTGTGGTCTGCTGGTACTTTAAAAACCTAGGGCTTCTCGAGTCCATTCCAAATAATTAGGAAATTTTAATGATTAACAATTTTTTTTCTCCAATTTAAAAATTTTTGTACAGACCGAGAAGAATAAATAATAATAATTAATTAAAAGATATATATGAATAAATTATTTGGAAGAGTTCATGCATGGGGCATAGTTGCCTTCATTTCGAACTCAATAAACATTTATTGAAACAAAATAATATTGGTAATTTAATAAAAAATCGCAAAAATTCATCAAACGACAGGGTCAACAAGTTTTTTTTCTCCAGAATTTCCATTAACGCAAGGATTTTAAACAAACACAAGAAACCCTTTTTAAAGAACTAGTAAACCACAGGTCCCCCTATGGTGGTCATTTGCCTTTTTTAAATTTTTCACTAAGGCTCATCCTGGTTTAAATATTATTTTTTCAATGAAAAATTCGTATTTTGGCTAAAAAAAATCTATTTGAGACTTCCTTGCTATTTACAGCCTTATGTGAATTGTTGTTGCTTTTCAAAGTATCTCAAATATATATTAAATAAGTAAATTTTGAAGGGGTATAGATTCAGACAAAGTAAATTTTCCTAAGAGAGTGAAAAATATAATAATACTTAAATACTTCTATGTCGAGATAATGGTCCCATCTGTCACGTGTGGCATTATTTCGCTGCTCAGACTCGCTTCTTCTGCTCCTTTAACATTCGCACAATCAAAATTTATTGGACGAGTCCGAACAATGAAACAAGCTGAGCAGCAAAATGAAAGAGCATCCACAGCAGCCGGTTGTGTGTTTCGCAATTGGAGGAATGCAATAATTTTGCGCAGCCCTGGTCCAGATAAATGTCAGTGAGTCTCCTTGCCTCGCTCTCAGGAGCATTCGGTCGCTTTTAATAGCAGACCTTGGCGCGCGCACTGACTTGCCGAAAATTCTAATTAATTGGCCAGCCGGGTTAATTAATTCCACTTTATAGCTTGCCGGCCGCGACTTCTCTCATTCAAATGAGATGAGATCACCTAAGCGGAACCGCCTTTGTCGCGGCATCAGACTCAAGAAAAGGCTAAAACTTAAAAAGATCTACAATGAGCACTTTTCGCAAAAAATAAAATAAATTAAAAAAAAATATTCAGATTGAGTCAAAAAAAAAATTTAATTTTTCAATTTAACTTTCATAACGTAAATTATTTTTCCGCTGGTATTAAAATAGAAGGAATTTATTATTTCATAACTGTTTTTAGGTGGTGAATGAGAGACAACAATTTGAAAATCAGTTTAATTATTTATAAATTGTGTGCTATTGAGCCTCACATGAGTTAAAAAAAATAGCTTACAATAAGAAATAATGACACAAGCAATTTAATTGCACTTTTTCTAGTTTGAAAAATATTATTTATTAAAAAAATTAAAACATTAAAAATGCGACAATTTAAGTTTGAATAAGTTTAAATCTCATTTTCCAAATAAAACTTCAATTTAAAAGAATTTGATTTTTATTAAAATTTAAAAATTTGAATTCGCAATGCCCTAGTATTAGAGGGCCCTGACGTAGTGTCCCTCTCTTTTCTGTGAGGCATGATGTACTATCGTGGTCTCGGTCAAGCACAATTTAAAGCATAAAGCGCACACTTTATGGTCGTGCGTCCGCCACCATTTTATGGGCCCATAATTAATTGTATGCATAAAAGCAGTCGTCGACACATAAATTTGCAAACCTAATTGGCACGATGGCCGAATGAACTCACCATTTCGCGCATCCCAGCGGCCGGAGGCTGGCCAGACACGTGGCCGAGGGCCACGCTCTGCCGCAGTTGGTTGTGCGTGTCCAGAATCGCTTGCTTGTCCATGCACCCCAGTCCGCCACTTTCTTTAAAAGATAATTTGTAAATAATTTAAAGTTTTTATCTATATATCGTTTAAAAAAATTATTTATTTTTTGTTTTTTATGATATATTATGTTTAAATTTTAAAATTATTATCACAGATAAAAAATGTGTGTTGATCAAATGCATAAAATTATGCCACAACCGGTGCAATAACTGATACTTCTATTGAGAAAATAAAATTTTTAGCTATAAGGATAGTGTTTGTAAGCATTATAGTTTGTATATGAAATTATTATTTATAAAATTATTAATATTTCTCAATAACCGTTTTGTTTTTATTCATACCACACTATATTAATCGTGTGATAATTCAGAAAACATCAAAAGCAGAGATTGTTGAGTGCTCGTCGGCATGTTTCCAATACAATTAAGGAATTCCTTCTTAAATGTGATGCGACTTATGAAATCATTAAATTTTTCCTACTCAATTATCCGTTCTCAAAAAAGGCATCTTTCTGTACACAAAACACAAAAATGATTTAAAAACTTACTGATTAGAGCTTTCCCTGAGCAGGCGGCCGCCCTGTACATGCAGATGGTGTGTCTGGACGAGATGGCCTGATAAGGGCACAGGGCGGCCACGAGTGCGGCGGCCACGACGGCCAATAGCGTCGGGACAATCAGGCAGCCGCGGTTCATTTGCGAAATGCGTGCAGAAAACACTGCCCGCCTCAGGGTCTGCCAGGTCGCTTTATACCTTCGCCGGCAATCGCAGGGTAGGGGCCGGGCGAATGTGTGTGCAGACTTGAACCCTCCTTTTCGCATCTGGCCAAGGTACTGACGGCTCAATTTCCACGCCTACGACGCCTCTTTAGTATGCACAACGAGTTTTCAGATTATTTGCCCCGTCCCTGCTACTGTATTTTAATGAAAAGAAAATGTTGAAAAGGCGTGATCGAGTTATTTTTATCGAGAAAAAAAGAAAAAAGTCTTATTGAGAAAAATGTGAATGAAAGAATCCTCAAAGCCATTGCTGCTTTAAACATTTTGGTGAAAAAGCTGCTGTTGAGAAAAAAGTAAATGAATGCCTAAATAACAGGTAAAGCAATGAAACCCACAATTAAAATTTCAATAAATGTATAAAAAAAATTTAGAACCCCAGCTCATTATTGATTTAAATGGTGTAAAAAAAAGTAAAAACACAATAGCAGTAGATAATGTAAGGTTAATTCTATTTTTACTCGTCACATTAAAATCATCTGGACACAACTGTCATTTGCAGTTTGTTTAGCGATCCGACCTTTGACCTGAACAAGGTCAGCCGGCTGGCCTCTAAGTGATTGTTGGGCGCGGCGTCGGCAGAGTGCTGGCCAAGAGGCGATATTTGAATCCTCAAAGAGAGAGAGAGAGACGCTCCGGGAGCTGCTAATTATACATATTATAAAATAGATTCTCTTTTTTTTGTATATCTTGTACTTTTAGAAAATGATATTATAAGCGCTAGTTGTATAAATTGACCGTAACATAAATTCCCATCAGGTGTCCTTTTATGTTTGTACCCATGGCGGAAAAGTCCATATAATTCTTGAAATCACTTAAAATCATTATTATTTATTTGAGAAGCTCATTAAAATATTATATCTCACAGAGATCGTTTGGCTGTTTTTGTTATCCCACAGGAAAATGTATAATGAGTTCTACAAATTTTATTTTTCGCAGTTGTCATTGTTTGCGTCTCTCCGTTTTACAACTGGGAGCAACATTTTTCAAAATGTGTATTTGCCGCAAAAAGGGTTATTTGCCAACTCAATAAAAAAAGCCTCGCCTAGCAGTAAAGCGCACGCGAGAGAAGAGGATTATCGCCGTAAATTTGAATTTAAAATAATTCGTTCTCTCTCTTATTCAGATGTCAGAGAAAATCGGCTTTTCAGACTTTTTTCTACTGCTGGGAAACAAGTGTGAGAAATGAAACACCTGAGGAACATCACAGAGCTGGTGAACGTTTAATAGGTTCTAAAATAATTTTGGTTTGCTGTCCTTCTGATTACGGCCTATTTTTTATTCATTCACATTTGGTTTGTCACAAATATATGGGTTGATGGAGGATTGATAAAAGCAATAGAACTGGCGTTTCTACTGGTTTCTACATGAGTTTTAAATGCAGTTCAAAATATTTTATGTGCATCAGTTATTTTTAAAGCATTTTTCTACACAGTAATTTGCATAATTTATTATATATTTGAAGGATGAATTTTGGTTATATTAAATTTAATTTAATAGTACTTTGGATTTAAGCAGTCCAATTTGTTCAGTCATATTTAAACAAAAACGTGCTGAAAATGTTTCGTTGGAATGATCATTGTCATATTAAGCAAATTTTCTTGTAATATATCAAAAAAAAAATTGATGATGATTTTTTTCATGCGCACTGATATTGAAAACAAGTTTACAGCAACCACGAACAATAATTTTATTAAGGTTTAACACGCATTTTTAGTGGAGCAAACTGGAAACCACAAGGGTACACGATTATTTGTTTTGCACAGCATATTTATTCTTTAGCAGCGTGGTACGTTAAAGGTTTATTACAATCCGCGCAACTTAAAAACCTATAAATGAATACCTATTTAATTAGACTAATTTACATCACCACCAAGCTTTTAATACACGTTTCTACAAATTCCCAGTCTGCTCCTTTTTTGATATATTTTCTCCAAAAGCATTATTTATTGTTTCTTTTCATTACACAAATTCTTTATTAATGGGAGAAGATTTGAGAGAGAAGATGGGGAAGTTGATAATCGATCAAGAAATGCGTTTTTCGGATATTTTACCATACAATGAATATTTCCTTCTTTTCTTGCCATGAATTACGTCTTCCTGATTGTGTTTTTCGTGGCCAGTGGTGCCGTGGCCGGTGGTGAAGGTGTTGCCGCCAAAAGGGGCTGTTCACGCATCGCGTCCACCAAGGCGGCGCTCAGAACCTCTTTAAGTTTTTTTTATCACATTATATCCAGAGTAAAAATGAAGTGTCGCTTTCTGGCCTTACCAAAAACTTTTCGCTGGATTTGCTGTGGCATTTGTGATCGTTCCTCCTTCAAAAAGGTTGAAAACTTTCTCATTACATTTTGAGCTTCAGCCTGTCCGTTTCCTAAGGTGCAAAATAGGTGTGAATAACACAATTTCTGGTTTGGTTAATAATGCACGGAGAAAAATGCGAAAATTTAAACTAAAATCAAAAGCATAACCATTTCCAATGATTTCTTACAATTAAATTACCTTTTACTTTTTATTTCATGTTATTTATTTAATTAATATTTGTTTGTTAAGATGTCATTTATCGACTCACCGAATTTTATCACAATTTCTTAAATATCAGTTGCAATATACTCAAAAGGAGCGTATTTATATTATAATAAATTTAGTAAAATAAAGACAACAAATAAAAAAATCGATAGACACGCTTTTAAATTTAACACAATACTTTGCACTCAACATAAAAATTAATAAATTTAATGATATTAAAAATAAAAAAAAATGGTATGTTTAAAAAATTTTAAATCTAAAAAAATGTAAAATATTAGCTTTATGTTTTGTGCAACACTTTATAAAATTTTTAAATAAAATTTAAATACAACTAATAAATTTAAAATATGATGTTTTGGTAATAAGTCTCTCGATTTGATTTGTTGCAAAACTTATGGAATTAAATTAAAAATTCAGTATTCAGTATTAGTAATTCTCCTTGTACCTGAAACCAAATTTTGGGTAAAAAGCAATTTGGCCAGTTGGTAAATGACCTCTTCCAGAGAGTATTCAGTGTATTGGGCATCCGAATCTTTAAGGTGTTGCAGCAGGTCTGAGTATTCGTCTTCAGACATTGCTTTGTTACTTTCGGCCTGCTGGCGTTGCTGTTCCTGATGTAGGCGGCTGATTGCAAGAGCTTCTTGGAGAGCAGCGGCCCTTTCCTGATTAAAAGTGAGAGAAAAAATTGCACAAGTTGGTTGTTATGATTTGCATGGAAATGGAATATCTGCAATTGTAAAATTTCCCATGGTCCACCAAAAGCCCCTTTTTAATTTTCATTAGATTATTACCAATACCTCTTCAAAACAATAGAATCATAGAATTTTAACAACAATCATGATTATTTGCATTAACGAACCAATTTGCTTCTTTTTGTTTTTCAGCTAGAATTTATTTTATTAATTTTGTTTACCTGAAAATTCATAAGCCTTTGGATTGGGCAAAATCAATTTCAATTCTACTTGTAATGAACCACACAACGTTGTAATTGAACATTTTCAATATCCGCCCTAATTTGCATTGACTGATTGCAATTCCAATTATCGCAAGTAATTATTTGATCGTCCTCCGTTTGCTGACTGTCACCGCGGAGTGTGGCAGTTTTAAACATTTGAGTACATATTTTTTTTAATCCCATCCAGTGAATCCGATTAATTAAAAAAAGGGGGGGTTTGAAGAAATAAAGAAGCTGGTGTATGGTGCTGTGCGCGCATCCGAGAGGGTGTTGCAAAAGTGCTTCATCATTCGCAAGAGTGGGACGCGAAAAATGCAATCTCGGCACGCGCACCACAATTCAAGAACACGCTGCAGGGTGACAAAGCGAAAAAAATAAGGTTTCCTGCCAGACGTGCTTCGCATGCTCCGATTCGCGAAAGCTTTCGCGGCTTATTGGATTTCAGGGTTTATTAGGGAAATTTCCACTCACCAAGGCTTCTTGTTCTACCGCCTGTTGCTCGGCCTTCCTTTCCGCGTAGTAGTTTTGCAAGATGGTGATGCTCTGCCGGATCTCTCGCAAAAATGTGACCGCTTCTTCACGGGAAATCTATAAAAGAAAGAACGGAACAAGAAAGATAATGAGATTCAATCAGACAAATGTCTTGGTTTGCAACAGGTTTAAAAATGGAGATAAATCTGAAAAGCTATAAAAAAAAACGCCTTTTTTGTAAAATTTTCAAGAAGTTTGACAAAAATTATTAGGTCTTTGCAAAAACGGATTTTAAAAATCAGAAAGACCCAAGATAAATGGTTAATTCTACTTTGCAGACAGTATGGAACAAAAGAATGTTTGTTTATGTCTGAAAATGTTTTAAACTCTTGCGCAGAACAAAAACTGAGTAGTCACCAGGGATGTATGAAAATTCTCGAGCGATACTTGGGATAATCCGAGAGGCGGGAGCGGAAAAGCCAATTTCACAAGTGATGTAATTTCGAGAGGGGCTCATCATGAATGGGGAAGACCGGTGACGGTGATGAAGGAAAAGCAGCCTTGGCAACGGCTCCGTTTCTATGGCGAAAGACGCCCACGCGACTTTTCCGTTCGCCGGTCGCGCCGTCGCCACCCGTAAATAAAAAGCAGCCTGTTCATAAACAAGGCGCGCAAATAATATACATAAAAAAGGGGAGAAAACAGCCCTCCGCGTGAATGACGCAAAATACGTGTTGTTTGCATGTGAAATTTTATTAACTCTTACTTAATATTGGCGGTGGAGGAGAAACTAGAGCCACGAACGGAACCGCAGCCGCCCACGGGAAAAGTGAAAAATGCGCTGTTGGCCGAGCAAAAATTCCCGACGCGCACAAAGAACGCAATTCAACAAGGCGCTTTCCAGCTTTGCAGAGGAGCCACGGTTGAGATAGTTGAAATTGCAAAACATACATCCAGCTGGCTTGGATTTTGCAGAGGTTTACAGCTTAAAACAATCCTAGTAAATGAGTGGATTTTATTCATCGCCGGAATTTTAATTAAAAGCCGCTTTTACTACACAAAGTCCTTTTTATGTAGTTTCAACATATTTTTGACATGCTTAAATGTTCTGTCAACAAGATATAAAGTTTTATTTTTATCATAAATTAACAGATTTGAGGCTAATTTTTAATGAATATTCAAGAAATTTTGATTGGATTGAAGTTTGAAAATAATATTTTACCGTTACGGTAACTAAAATTAATATTTAAAAAATAATAATTCTAGTTACCGTATCTTTTTTTATTTCATATTAAGTGGATTTAGTATTTCACCTACAATAGCGTGATCTTTAAAAAACTTCAAATTCATTAGTTAGGCAATTATATTTACATTAATGAATCGCAGGTTGCATAATCTCAACTAAATAAACAACGCTGGAAATTAATTTTAGGAAATGGTATCAATATTATAATTCCCCTGTATTCCTCTAACTTCTCTTCCCTTCTATTCCATTCCATTCTATTCTATACTATTGAGACGTGAAGTGGCTCAAAGTTTGAATAAATTAAGTTTGACAAAATCGATTAAATAAATTTAAATATAAGTAATTATACCAAGTTAATTGAGAAAAGATATGCATTTCTTGTTTAGCTTTAAAAAAAATGGAGCCAACATTTATTACATTTAGGTCATTTACATCTAATATGTCTAAAGTAATTAATTTTTTTTTTAATTTTCAGACGTAAAATAAGAAATATAAAATCAGGAAATTTCCGAATCTCATTGTCAGCATAATGCTAAAATAATTATCCAGTCCCCTGTCAAAGGAAATGTGTAATGTTGTAGCCGTTTCCTGGATGAGACAAGCCGTTTGTTCGTCCTTGTCAGTCTCTTGAGACAAAAGCCTAGGATAGAGTTTACCTCTCTTGTGTCGATCTTCTCAGGTAGCCCTTCGGTCGCAGCAAATGATGTTTATTTAACACCTATGTAAGTTGTGGTGGCGCTCGATCCGTCGGCAGCTCTCATTCCTCATTCAATTTGCCGCAGCGACCCAAGAGGAAAGCGGCGTGTTTATTTTGGGACAGGGTGGAAATAAAGAGGCCCAGCACTTTTTTTCTCGCTCCCGGCTCCTGGGAGAGACAATCGAATTATAATGAGACGCTGTGTGGGCGACGGCAAGAAGATTATTTACTTCACTCTTGGAACTAATTGGCAGCCTTAATATGTCTCTTTCTACGTCAAGCGACAAACAGCTAGGAATCTCGCGGTTTTGCATAAGTGCACGTGAATTCAAACGTGGAATCAAGTTATTGATTATTAATTTCCAGTTTTCTCAGAAATTTCATCAGTCTAATAGACCGGTTTACCTATCGCTCTTGATTGAAATTCTTGACTAATTAATACGAAAAGCCCCAGGGCCCCTGGGGTTTGCTTTAATTTTTTAAATACTGCCAAATGTATGGATTTTTTTTTTCAAATAAAAATAATAACTCATAAGTTAGTTCAATAATATAATATTATAATAATAACATTTTTAAACTTTTTTAAGCACAAATTTAATAGCTAAAATTAACAACTTCAATTCCATGTTCAATGATCCATTTTTAAAAGACTCATCTAAACTTTTCTCTTTCGCTCGATCTCATGCAACATTAACAGGACAGACGCGCGAGCTAAGTAAATTGGAAATTTCCTCTCGCGAGAATTGAATTACTGATGGCTTCGCACGCGCTCTCGTTCGCGCGTCACCAGCTAGTGATAAAGTCTGAACATTTTTTTGTCATCGCGTCTTCTCGCGCATTTTCCCGTTTTTCTCCCACCCGGCGATCCTATTTTCTGATTATGACTACTGCCATTTTGGTTTCGCGTTTAATTACATTTGCTAATGAGAGACCCATTGAGCAAACAAACAACAAACCAGAAAGGCAAAAATAAATTTTCCATGTGATATAATTGTATGTTTAACACTAGACATTCAAAACAATATCAGTAATATGTTTATTGCACTTTAAAATTGAATACTTATGAGCATTGTAAATAAATTTGTAGTTGGGGAAAAATTGAGATGGTTAGGAAATCCGTTAAAAGCATTAGGCCTAGGCTAGGAAATGTTTCGAAAATCGAACCGCTTAAATCTATAAAATACTTTTTAGCAACTTCAAACTAACAATTGCATACCATAGATCTCGTATGAAGAATTAAATTTTTGCACTTTTTATTGTATTTTTAGCACAGCATCGTTTTTTATTTTAAACTGTCTGAAAATTTTTAATTTTAATGCTTTCAAATTTTGAACTTGCTTTTATTCCTAATGAGATATTTTTTTACTTTGAAAAAATTTTAATACGTTTTTGGTGCAATATTAGAGCATAAAGTATTAGCTTCTGTACTCACCAGACCCTGCTGCAGGAACTCCTGGATGGCAAGTGAAACTCCTTGCTCGTCTCCCGTCCAGAACACGTACTCTGCCAGTTGCATAGGGGACACTCCCAATTCGCGCGCCTGCAACTCGGAGATAAAAACTCCGCTTTATACACGTATTTCATTATACTCGCGCTTGAGCGATCTTCGATCATTGGGGCGGAAACTTTTTCGAATTCGTCAGGCGGAAAATGACTCAAAAAGGGGATAAAAAAAAAACTACTGAAGTGGAATTTTTTAAACTTTTTTGCGTTGCATTCTCATAAAATAATCAAATTTCAAAGTTAAGAGTCAAACTGTGAATAAACAGGAAAACGATTAAACATATCAATATTCAATGGAGATGACTTTGGATATTCCATGACTTCCACGAGTTTTTTATAAACTAAAAACTTCGGTAAAAAAAATTTAAGTTGGTAACAAAGCGATGAGAGAAGCTTTATAAATGCGGTGGATTAGACTCTAAAGTAGTTGCTTATTAAGTGGTCGGTCGGATGCTTATTTCAAAGAGGTTTAACGCGCTTGTTTGCTGAGCACTTGTAAACACTAGTAAAGTTGCTTCCCATTCAACGGTGGAAGCGAGTGAGCCCGTCTAGTGCCATTGCAGATTTGTTTCGTTTAGGCAGACAAGCAGAGAGAACTGCAAATATAAAAACGCGCTCACCACAATTTCCAGCGATCTCGGTCCGACAAGTGGCTGCGGTGCACTTAAGAAGGGTGAAGGGTTCCCTGGAAAATAAATATTTCTAATTATTGAATCAGAAAAACCAATTGATAAGTGTGTCAATAACAGTGGCAGCTAAGAAATTGAAAGTGACAGAGTATAAGATATAAAAAAACCCAAATTATACTTTAATAGATAAGACTATTTTAATCGTTTAATGATATTCATAGCAACTTGGAGGGTCTGGAAACATTCAAACGAACAAAATTTTATGGTGAAGTTCATAAGATAATTTCCAAAAAATAAATATATATTTTGGGGAAAAAATGACGGTAAAGGTAAAAGTATGACTGTTCAAAAATGATTCGTGAAAAAATTAAAATTTATAAATATATGAATAAATATGTTTTTCATACCAATTAGTGGCATCCGCTTTGCAATGAGATCTGGAGGCAATTTCACGGGCGCTGCTGCAAATGAGAAGTAAAGTTATGATTTTTTCAAATGTTTTTGGAGAGCAAACGAGTTTTCAATCAAAATCCCGCGTCATTTGTGCGACGCAAAGCATAAACTACATACACGAATAATAGAGACGTCTCAGTTTCAACTTGGTGAGACGCTGCCGGCGAAGTTAATTACATGCGCGAGTTGAGCGAGCAACTTGCCTAAAACTTATTCTGCGGCGTGCTGAATTTATCACCACCGACTTGCGTAAAAGGCAATCTTGGGATGCGCTCGGCGATTATTGCGGCAAATAATTTTGGGACAAATACTTTGCTGAGGAAGCTTATTTTGGTACTTAATTTTCAATGCGTCTACATGGGCGAAATGGAAATTTATGGATTTGTAGAAAGAAAAGGAAAACAACAGAATAAATTTAAAACCGTTTTCTAAAATGACAAACAAAAATGGGTCTTTAAATGGGCTCTGAAAATTTGACGCAATTTTTTATGTTATTTTTTTTCTTGGCAACATTATTGATTACATCGAGGCGGTAAAAACGAAATGTTGGCAAATATAAGATAACGCCGACTGATAAAGGTGTAATTCATTCACCCCTCGCATCGATTCGCCTTTTGCTGACGAATAAAAAAAACCTGCGACACCAAACCCGCGTCGCACTTATTGGCATTCTTTTTATAATGTTAGCAAGGGAACTTCTCTAATGAGGAAAATTAGCAGAGATATGATGTGAGGCTTTTGGCTTACCTGGCTGTTTTGCAGGTGTTGGGTTGCCTTTCAAACTCTGTAATTGAGCAACATCGTCCTGAAACAAAATCGATAGCAATGAAATGAACTAATTATTATTAATTTAATTTTTTTCTTTAAATCATTATGAACCTCATGTAATACACTACATCTATTTTTTTTTAATTGCGGTAAGGAAGAAGAAACTTGTTTTTTTTTTTGTTAAATTTTTTATTTATTACTTATTACTATTGATTAAAAAGTTGGATTTTCTTACATGATTATTTTCTTCAAAATTGAGCCAAGATTTTTTTTAAATTATTTTATAAAAATTCATTACAGCTAAGATATTAATAGTTTAATTTGAGATGTAATAATTTTAAGAGAATTTCTCCATATCGTTAAGGCTAAAAAGATATTAAAAAAATAGAACCTTTGTAAATTATTTAAAATTTCCAGCAATTAGGAGTGTAAATGTAAAGTTTTAATCACGCTCGAAGATCAGAATAAAGGAATGAAAACACCACTTTCTGTAACTTTGCATAATTTGCTTTTGATTTTTCATTTATTCTCATCCTGATAATCTCATTTAACTTTTTAATGGCAGACACGTTTTCCTAGTCCCACATTAAGGTGAGGACGACCCCATGACCTTTTTTGGTTGGATGCAAGGATTAAAAAAGTTAAGAGCAAACGTAGAAATGAGTGAGTCGGCACCTTGGTTTAATTACTTGACGCTAACCCCCCTGGGAGGGAAAAGTCTCGACGTGTTTGCGCAAGGGAGGGCGACGAGTTTGCTCTAGTGGGTGAGCCGGCAGGAATTTCGTTACCGTTTCGCGTGACGCCGAGCGGCGTCTCCTTAACTGTTTCTCTGCTCGTTCACTGGAGAATTACCTCCAAACATAGGAGCTATTTATTTTAGGTGCAATTCGCTGCGGCAATCAAAACTTCTTTCAGCTCGAACGACCAGCAGAGAGAGTAAACAACCAGTAAAACTAATTTCAACCTTAATGGGCCACACGGCCTTGAATTGGTGTTGAAGATGCTTCATGTTATTCTAGGAAACCTGTATAGCTTAGAATTGTAACATAAAACTAAAAATTAAAAACAAACTTTTCAGTGGTTTTAAATCAATATTATTTTCAGAAAATGTCCTAATTGCTCACCACAAACTACGAGTTATATAAATTTAATTTTTTAAAGCAAATATTGTATGTACATAATTTTTTTTTTAATACAGTTAAAATGGCACAGTTAACTATTTACTCTGAGCATTCTATCGATCGATCTAAAAAATCAAATTCTAGGCATTTTTTGTAACAAAAAATTGAACAAGTGTGTGTGTGTGTGTTTTTTATTATTGCAACCAGTGTTAAGTGTTTCTCGTTATTTGTTTCTTAATTCAATGATTTGACCTAGGAAGGCAGACTTGTTGGCCATTGAAATTAATTCAGCTCATCTGCCTGAAGAGCATTCAGCCGCGAAGAGCAGGAGAATAGGCAACTGGCTCGACAAAGACGACAGCCGGGCTTGCCTACCGCTCAAATCGAAAGGTGCTCCCCGATGCAAATGTTGAAAGGGTCGGAACAAGCGATGCGAAGGCTGCTTTTGTTGAATAAATGGCCGCCCGTGTGCCGACAAAACTGACCTGCCTGATAACGTGGTGCGAGCGACCGTGAACAAAAAGGGCTTTCCTTTGCCAAAGCACGCTGATTAGCATAGACCGTGGACAACACAAGGGAAAAGCTGGCAAGGTTATTCCCTTTCCAAAGGTATGGACGCGTGTGGTTTATTCTGTGGGTTTTGTAAGGGTAAAAGGAAACCGGGTTTTAAAAAGATGCAGACAAAAGTTGGTCCAGAGAACAAACTCTTGCCATTTAATCCTGTTGAATAATTTAATTTTTAGAATTTTCCTGCATTCAAATTCACTTTTAATTTAAAGTGCGTTTTAGTTTTCAAGATTAAAATTGAGTTTTCTTTTCTGAGAAACAGGAAAATCTAGTTGTTGTGTGATATTGGAAATGGCTAATTATTACTAGTTGAAATTTGGCTTTTCGATTTTTATTTCGTCGGTTTTTCTGCTCATTGTTAGAACTTCCAGAATTACAAGCCCGTTTTTCTTTCCTCTTTTAATGCTCAATTGTGCTCAGTTCTTAATTAAGTCACTGCAATTTATTTTCAATAACACCTCTGTGCATTATTTTATTATTATTTGCCTATTTCTTTTAATTATTAACTATAATTACTATTTATTTTTATTTTTAGATACTCGCAGACTTTAGATAAGGAAAATATTTTGTTTAAATTCGGTGAATCCATTACAAAATTTTATATCTTTTATTGCATTTAATTTGGCATCTCTAGTTCTGATGTTTGATAACAATATCAAAACAAAATAATTAAAATTCGTATTTTGATAATTCTATGTGACATATAGAAGCAGGTGGAAGAAAACAAACTCACTCACCTGCTGCTGCTGTGGCAAGGTCGCAGCCGCCGGAGCATTCACCTTGTTTGCACTTGACGGTGTTACTGAAACAAACAAAAACAAGGTCACCTTTGAGTGCGGTGATTATATAATGACCTGCGTCATATCAGGAAGACGGCTAAAGTTTACCAGCCTTGCAAATGGGTGGTGTTGGCTTTGAGTTTTACTCAGGCCTCTCAACTCAAAGGCTGCTGACGCTAATGAAGTGTGATTCACTCTCACATTCAACATCATAAACTCAAAGATGTATAAGTTGATAAACTTTACTTAATCATAACAGGCAAAAATCTTGTAAAGATAATAAAATTGAATTAATGGATGATGTATTTGGGCAGAGAATGCCTGGTGATACATTAATAAACATGATTTGAAACTAAAGACATCATTTAGAAAATATTGGTAGGATAGAATTACATAATGTTAAGCTGCTAATTCAATTTGAAGCAATTTCGAAGTAATACAATTTTGATTTTGTAAAACCAATTAATAATAATTTCAGCCCCTTAATTATTTTATTATAATGTGTTGTGATTATAATTTATCAATCAATTTGCTTTTTATTCCTCCTATAAAAATAAAATAGAGAGAATTCAAAACAATAATTATTGAGTAGAATTCTAGTCAGGATTAAAACCTGACGAATTTGTCTTATATTTCAGTCAAAATAATTTTTTTTATCACCAGGGAATGAAAAGAGTTTTCTTTGTTTGATCACTTGGGCGTCACGTGTGCTGCTAAATCAGGACCCAAATTTGCTCAGGTGGAAAAAGCGGCCCGAGAGCGAAACGGTGGAAAACAAACGGACGACGCGCAGAGATTGCTCGCGGCCTTGCCAAAGCAAACAGCCAGCACGCGCGCACATTCGAAAAACATTATATCGACACTCGGCTGCCTTTTGCTCTTTGGCGCGTGTGATGAACGCTCAATGTCAAAGTTGGCACTGAATGGTGCTTTGACGATTACTGTTCGACGCCAGAGAACAAAAACACTGAAAAACATGAGCGCTAGAGTTCTATTTTCGAGTGCCAGTGTTATTGTCAAAATAAAGCTCTTCCATATTTGTAATGGATAATTACATACGGTCCAGGGCATGGGAAGAATTTTTATCTTTTCCATATTGTTTGATCAGTAGAAACAGGTAAATAAAAATTTAACAATTGATTGGATTATTGTTTAAATTGATTAAATTGTCATTTCCAGAAGACATCTCTAGGAGCTAAATAATCATTTGTTTTTATTGATTTTGTTAAATTAAGTACATTATAATATAACAGCTCAAGAGAATTTTTACTTTTCTAGAACTAAAAATCAGTAGAAAAAACAATAAAGTTTCATTCAATCAAAAATTTTTCATACTTAAATTATTGGTAAATTTTAATGAAATCTAAAGCATTCATGTAAACTATTTTTTTTTTCTCTTTTTCATTTTAGCAATATGGCTCTTTCTTTATATTTTTATTTCCAATCCTTCTATTAATACCCAAGTTAAAGCAACACGTTCTTAATATAGAAAATGCAACTCCCTAAACCTGTCCGAGACAATGAAAGTAATAGCTTCTTCAATCTATTTTTGTTCACCAAGTCATCGTTGAAATCGTTTTTCCTCGAGGGACGTCTACGGCGCCATCTTCCTCGCTGGCTATTCTGGGAAATTGTGTGTCCCTGTGTGCGCGCGGCAACAAACAAACATTTCCCATTGACCAAAAGCAAAAAGTTTATTTTTCCGCTCGAGGAATTACTGCCCTACTTAACTTAGGGCTTTGCTGTGTTTTGCCAGCGGGCTTTCCATTTCCCTATATACACAGAGCATAATAGACAAACCAGAGTTTGGAAACGCTCCAACCGCGGCACTTAAAATGTCGATGTTTCCAGCCAGGACACTACTTAATATCGCCGGCCGCCCACGTGGGTGGAGCGGCGGCCCAATCAATAGCTGGTCTCCACTCTCAAGAATGGAACCAAAACAACCCCCATCGCACTCTGCGCAGATTTACAGAACCACTATATCTGGCACAAATTGGAAGCAATTAAGACGATTCCGCCACATTGCGCCAATTAAATGTTGCTTTCGAGTGGCGCACAATTAATAATGTCAAGCTGCGCGTCTTAATTGTCAGGGTTTTATTAGTTTTGGGAATTATTACATCCAAATTATAATGTATGTGGTTTTCTATCAGGTTACGTATGTTTCAGTGTTTTTTGAAATGACAGCCTAATTTATTTCTGAACGATGAATGATGAATTTTCATATAATAGGCATGGTGCAAGATTATTTATTGTGATATGTTTTATTATTATTATTATTATTTGCGAATTATCCTATATAAACGCATAATACAAGTTTATTAAATTACACTCCAAACTTGAAATGTGTAGCGTGTTATACTAATTTTTAGAATAGTTTTATGTTTATTTAAAAATTGAAGATTAACTAATATGAGTATCTAAATTAACTATTCGAAATGATCCAGTTGTGATTCAAAGTGAATTTGCTGGGTAAATATCAAGTAAAATAATCTAAGCAATTGATAGTTTGAAATATTTATAAAGATTATTAAAAAGTTATAAAAAAAAAAAATTTGCACAGTTTTTAATTAAATATATATTTTGAAAATTAAAATAAAGTAAAAAATTTTATTAAATAGTATTAAACATTAAAATTTTAAAAATTTAAAAATTATAATATATTCTATTTATTTTATAAGGAGTATATTAAAAGTTAAGTTAGGTAATTTAAAACATATACTATTTAAACAATAATAATTGGTTAATGATGTAGATGTATTGTAAACAAACGAACTAAGCAACTAAATGATACACGATTTTTTTTTATGATATGTTATGATATTTGGTTTATTTAATTAAAAAAAACCACACCAAAATTTCCAGGGTTGGTTTTAATAAATCAAATCTATTAAGTTTTTATCCAGTTTAGTAACGTTATATTTAGAATAACTTGCATGTTCTGACGTTAAGTACAAAAATCAACAACCGCAGAAGATTAATTAATATTCAGCCTTGGTGGCTGCGGGGCTATTCATGAAATCGACTTGCGAAAGTGCAAACAGCCGACTTTAATGCCAAGGCGTTTTGATGTGGGTCGTGGGCGCGCTGACCGAGTAGAATTAACAAACGGCTATTTGCCCGCAATCTACATTTTCCGCCATTACGGACGCACATGCATTTTGCACACCAGAGAGAACCACACAGCGCTTCAGAATAATATGCGTGTTGCGTAATTCAGCCCCTGGTACAACATTCCCTAATCCATTCATAATGCAGTTAAATGGCCCAACGACCGCAGGATACAAAGGATATTACCCTAATTTGAGAAAGCTGCAAATTTTCCACTTTTACCCTAGGCAATATTTTCAGGATAAGTTGAGTACAAAAATATGTGAATTGGTGAAAAAGTTAAAATTAATTAAATAATAATTTATAATGAGGGCAATTTCTAACAATACCAAGGCCAGCATTGCAAGCACACCATGCAATTTTAAATGTCAAACTAAATTAGCTGCGCCAGGTTAGGTTCCTAGATCGCCCTCTCAATATAGTTATGTTGAAATATCCTGGCCGATATTCTCCCTCTAAAGAATAGCGTCGGATGGTTCCTGAAAGGCTGCTTTTTCACTGAAGCTTAAGTCTTTTAAATCCATAAAACTTTGAAAAAAATGGCTTTTTAGCCTTTTTAATGAGCAGTTATTTTTCTATCTGTTTGAAGTCCACTTATTTTGTTTGTATTATTTTGTGTACATGGATAAACATCCTAGCCTCAGGGCAAAAAAGAAACGCAAAAAGCACAGCACAATGGGATTGACAAAGAACCACTCGCATCAACGCTGGCTGCTCGTCAAATGTCAATATATTCCATTCACTTGCCGTGTCTGCTCGTTTTGAATGAATATTTAGTCAGGCAAAAGCGCCTCCTCGTCCTCTTTCGCTGCCAACTCTTGCGGGCTCAAATAAATCAGTGGCATGTAAATTCATTTGATTCAAATCAACCGGCACACGGCCTATGCAAATCACTCAACCTGATTTCGTTTCAATAAAAATGGAAATATGTTAGCACTGGCGAGTGCGAGGACATCTGATTGTAAATGAAATACGCGAGAACTTTATCACTCCAGAAAAGTCTGTGAAGGGATAAGTCCTCATAAAAGAACTAAATGACTTGTCAAACTCCATAGAAATATTTCAAGTTTTCATTTTGATTGACACAATCAAGGTGAAATTCATATTTCATGAATTAAAACGCCAAGTTTGAAGCAAAAAACACTTGATTCAACAAACTTTTAATGAAGAACAGCAAATGTAATTTATCTGTAAATTTTTCAAAATGAAGAATTTTGAATTAAAACTATTTATTAAATCTGCCAAATTTCATACCAAAACACGATAAAAAAAAAACAGTAACTTGATAAGGTTGCAATCCCAAACATTAACTTTAAATGCGCCGCAATTGGGAGAAGGACGGTCTAAATTAATTTAATCGCACCACCTCTGCTCTCGGAGGCTAATTGAAAAGGAGAACCGATGGGCACTCTGGGGAATTATATTGCTGCAACTGTACTTTGGCTGATGGCCATGGCGGTTAGCTATAACTCAATTATTGGAGCGTAATCGAACGACTAGAGCAGTTTCAATTAACGGGCACGACCTTTGTTGCGTCGACCATCACACCTCTTTGATATTCAGTTTGGGCTGTTGGAATTACTAGTGAAATAAGAATTAGCATTGGATGCAATAATTACCTAATCAACGCCCTTTTGTGAACAATCGCTTAATCGTTAATTATTTAAAGGAGAATGTGTTAATAGAAATTAATTTCTACTTGACTAGATATTCACAGCTTTAACCTTTAATACATTTTTTTAGGGCAAATTCGAGCAATAATAATTTAATTTCCAGCTGTCTTTGATTTCTATAAATTTTTACTCTCACGTCGCCAAAATATCATTTTCTAAAACAATAATTCACATAGAAAACTAGTTATACTTTCAGTTTTTCTTAATTAGTACCTCCTATTTCCATTCATAGGGAAATATTTAGCACAGTTAACTCATTTCTATCAACGTGTCTTGTTTCAATATTTTGCAGCAAAAAAATTCTTACTTATGTTATGCCATATTTCATATTGAATAAATTTTTAATTTGGTGCTGGATTTAATAATAAATATTTAAGATATTAAAAGTCTGTTAGTAAATTTAGGGTTTCTTTCAGTTTTCTTTCCAAGCATATTTTTTTAAACGCATATAAAATACAAATTCAACATATTGCATCTATTCAATGGTGTTCTTATGACTTTCATATGACAATAAAATAGTCATGATTGATGAAGAAATCAAAAATATTTTAGTATTCCACTAGTCCTTAGTGCCTTATTTTGTATTTTTAGGGAGTTTTGTTTCATGCTAATTAAAAGGAGTAATCAATAAAAGAATATTACTGATTAAAGTATAAAAGAGATAATAGCAAAAGCTTACCATTGCTCACGGCAGCAGTTGAAACAAAGCTGCGCGTCGAAATCATTATTAGCATGACGCAAAGTATCTTTTTGTTCATCGCCCTGAAACAGAAACCGAAGCACTTATTGCCAAATCAAAGCCCATCATTTATCTCCTAATCACAATTTGTCTCTAGATATTTGCAAATAAGTGATCTGGAAAATTGGAACTCACCTCATTTTGAAGGAATTCTGTAGAAAATTGACTGCTTTTGTTCACTATTTGGGCGATTTAACATCAGCAAATGCCCAAAAAGCCCGTCTGCAGATAGAGTCAGACTCTGTGGCGTCTGTAGAGCCACTGAACCGGCTCCTCTCGCGCCTGATAGTCGGCAACCGCACGTTGCACAACCCTCTGAACCCATCTGCCATCTCCAGCGCGTCAAGAGAACTTGTTTGGGGTAGTTCCTCATTTTCGGCACATGAAATTCTTGTTCTCTGACGCGACGAGCCCGTTTGTGTTCATTCACAATGGCAGGAGAGGGTTGCGCAACGTGTTTCTGTGTTGAGCAACACGGACGGCGAAATGTTAAACATCAAGCACACATTACATCACTGTGCCCGACTTATGAATGCTGGTTCAATAAATTTCAGAGCTTGATTATAAGCCGAGCTACCCTGTATTTCATAACAAGTTTATAAACATTAAACTCATCACGTTATGCTGAATATGCGAGGACAAAAAATTTTTGAAATTTTTATGCTCTGTGGAATTTATTTATTTTACTATCAATTCAATTTTAATATTTATTTAAAAGTGCATTTAAAAAAAATATTGGCAAATAATTGTTTGTTAATAGTCACTTATAATTTAGAAATTTCTAATGCAATGTGTAGAAAAAAAATTTAAAACTGGTTATCTGTCATACAATTAATAGTTATTACAAAAATACTACTACCAGGGTTTTAAATATTCAACCGTCAGACTGCAACAATCGGCGGTCTAGATCACTTCCAACATCCACAATCAGGTTACAACAATCAAAATTAGTATTCAAGATTGATTTTTCTTTCGTCGACAATGCCTACTTATAGAAAAGCTCAAAATTGATTGTTTGACTGTTGGTTGAGAATATTTATTTTGAAAGCTCGTTTAAAAAATTCTTTTCGATTTATGCACAATGTCGCGCCAGCAAGCGAGACGGAAAAGCCGCAGTTCAATCGTGTGCTCCGGTTTTCCAACGTGGTCCAAGGACAGCGAGGAGTATCAGGATTCTGACTCGTCGGTCGAATCATTCGGCCCGGACGAGATCGACGAGCTCAAGAACAAAACCGGCCGTTTGGTACCTGACATGGTCGACTCCATCCTGGACGGCATCATTGAGGAAAAGGTTAACAAGATAGATAAGCAATGATGTAAAAATAAAAAGGTGCTTTTAAAATATAATAAAATCCAGGAAGAGAAAGAAATGGCGCAAGGTTTGGTGGAGGTTTTGAACAAAACGTTGGAGGAGGAGGAAGCGTCTTCCATCAGCTCTGAGTCTTGGGAGGAGTTGTCGCAGAAATATGCTGAGCTCCTGGCCAAGGGCGGACGCGGAAGTGGCTCGACAAAGACACCTGTCCTCTCCCAGAGCACTGAAATCATTGAGCTACTGGACAAGCGCTCGGCAAAGCTAGAAAACGGATGCAGGTATTTCATTTTTTCTTCTTATTTAAATGTAAATCCAGGAAAATTTTTTAAGACTATAAGAAAAAATTTGAAATTTCTATTTTTCCCCTAAAAATATCGACGTTCAAGCAATTTTCTTTGGGGTTTTTTTTCAATGAAAATCTGTTCCGTAAACTTAAAAATTTGGATGATTTATCGGAATAAAAGAGATAATCCAGTAATTGAGCCTGGTCAATATCTCACTGTCAAAAGAAAATAATATCGATATATAAAAAAAATATGAAAAATTGATATCAATCAATAAGAAATAATATAAGAAATACATTTATTTATTTATTTACCTTAAATTATTTAAATAACTATTTTAGATTAATCTCCTTTTTGTTAAGCGCCATCTTCGAGAACTTGGGGCAGATAAAAGTTTTGCTGCAGCAGCTCGAGTCACAGTGGCAAACCTTTGGCATTCCGGACGGAGGAGACACTTTTCTGGAAACAACACTGACCTTCGCGACTGACGTGGAGGCCAAGACGAACAAACTGCTTGAGCTGACGGAAGCTCAGCGCATTGCCTCCCTATCTCAGCACATGGGGTACCTTCCTAGGACCGAGAGTCTCACTGAAATAAGCGACTTTCAAAAGTTTCTGGAACTGCCGGATGTTGCTGGCGAGAATAAGAATGGTGAAAATCAGCAGCCCCCTCAGCAGCAGGAGGTAATTTTGAAAGTAGGGTGAAAGCATAAAAATAGGAAAGGCAAGCTCTAAAAAATCAATTTGCAGCTTTTTATTCCATTCAGAAATTTCTTTGTGAAGGCGTAAAGTTTCAGAAAACGTGTATATGAATTATGGATTTTCTCGCAGATTAGTCACTTTTCATGTAGCATAATGAATAATGGAGCGACCGGAATGTTGGGGGGGGGGGGAACCATTTCCATTATTCTACTCATAAATGCGTAAATGTTTCTTTCAAACTTACTTTATAAGCTTGAGAAACCAGGTGTTAGAAATTTAATGGGAAATCGATTTCTTGCAGCAATGATAAAGAGGGAGAAGGGTTAATGGTTGTTAAAATTGACTCGGAAGAAAAATATAATATTTATTCCAAATTTTAATTATGTGAAAATAAAATGCTTGCATTAGTTTATTTTTTATTTTACCCTTTTCATGAGAAAAAGGCTGATTTTTTTTGCTCATTAAAATTTTTGACCTTGAACGAAACCGGTAGCCTATTGATTTTTTTTTCTAAATATAAACAATCCTACGACTCGTTTTTAAAAATTCATAAAAAAACCATAAGTATCCTTTCATTTTCTTTGTCATTGGAGTGGAAGTTTTATTTGATAACTTCAACAAATTCAGCTTTATTTAAACACGTCAGATGATTTGAAATTAAAATTACTCAAGGTAGTAATTCAGGCCGTACTTTGAGTGGATTACAAATAGTTTTAAGGCACTTGATATTTATCAAAATTTAGGCTACCCATATACTAACTATAAGAGGGAAATAAACCCTTTTTACTTTTGTGAGATTTCTAATAGAATAATATATAAATAGCGGATGAAAAAATTAATTTTAACATTTTTGGATTTTTCTGAAACATGACCTAATTCTGTTGTGAATAGCTGCAATTGTATTAATTCATCATCAACAACGTTCTCCCATTATTATTTGCCTTTGAAAAGCGCTTTGTTTGAACTTTAATTGTCAAAATTCCAAAAGCACGCGTTTGCTCAAAATTACGCTCGCTTACAAAGAAAGTAAATTGACTGCCTTTGTTCCGCGTGCGCCTTACAATGTCAACTAACGAAATTGGATTCACAAAGCGCGAAGCCCTGCCGCCAACGCAGCTGACGAGAAAGTTGCGAAAATTGTGTGTTTTGCGCTGCTCGGCGCGAGCAGAGAGAGGAAGATGTGAAACCGAGATTGAATTTATGTATTTTCAGGAGCAGCGATCCGCGAGCAGCATCGGCTTTGCAGCGCAGACAATCGAGATGCTCGAAAAGGCGCACTACCCCCATGCTTAGCGCCTGCACGTTCACCAGATAGGCAGTGTGCGCCGCACGTCAGCAGCACGCGTTGCCTATGTCACAAGATTTGGTTCAACATCATTCAGAGGGAGTTCTTTCATACGCGACGAGGAGCACAAAAGACACGACGACTCCCAGGCGGAAAATAATTTGATCTTTTGAACAGGCGAATAAATAATAACGCCGTCACCCCCTAAGCTCGACCGCCCCTCTCGTCTTATTCAGAGATAAGAGGAGTTCTTTTTTCACTTGGCAGTTTTTATGAAGAAACTTGCTCAGCTGCGGGCGCTTCTAAAAAAGCGGCATGTTTGGTCGGCTAAATTTAACTCCTTTATGAACTTTTTCAACTGCTTTAGACACAATTAATTTTTATGATGTTATTAAAACATGAACATTTTGAAAGCAAAGTTTAATTTAACACACCCGCCTGTATGTGGTTTTTATACAGCAAAAGAAGAGCAAAGAAAATTATTCAAGACACCTGGGGATCGATTTTTTTTTACCAATTTGAAGCAAACTTATTGCGAATTTCAGAACAAGAGTACAATTTTTGAAGGAATTATTATGAATTAAAATTGATTGACGTGCAATGATTTATCTTAAAGTTTTATTCTTTGCAGGCGAATAATAGACTTTCATATTGCACCTGTTCCTTACAGTCACGTCAATCTGTCCGTATCAGGTCCGTATGCCTATAAGGAGTTCTTGAAACGCGGGCGTTACAGAAGTCTCAAGTTTAAAAGCCAAAGAAAATAAAATTCGGTTTAACACCATAAATTAGGACAATTATATATGTGCAGTGAAGTTGACTTAAACCGCCTTGAACTAATTATTTTCTTTCAAGTTGAGAATGGAAACTAAAATTAAATATATAATTATTTTTGATCAATTTTTTCTACGCGAATAATAGGCTTTGGTCAAACTATTGAATTTAAAAACATCATTTTTTCTGGGAGGGTTAATATTTTAAAACTTGATCTAACGTTATGATTTTTTTATCTATAAATATAGCAATTCATTAAATAATAGTGTCATGAATTATGAGTAAATTATAATACATTTTTGTGTGTCTAGGTAATATAATAAATTATGAAGTAATCTGAAAAATGCTTATAGTATAGGAACACGTTAAACCCTTTTGGTCGGACTGCAAATTAAATATCGTGTTTGCTCTGGCAGTAAAAATCACTGCTTTTATGGAGTGGTGAGCGGAAACGCCGTAGCGAATTGTGATCCGCCCCTGGCCCGGCGTGTATATAAAAAAAGGTATAATATATCATATTATCTCGCTGGCAGATCGGAAAATCAATTTTAGTGGCACATAAAAGAGAGGAACGGCCCTGTCATCACTTCTCGTGTCAATTTTCGCTCTGGCCAATCATCGAGGATAAGGAGAGGGAAGAAAAGGTGCTCGAGATGTGGGTCAGTCCGACTTCAAAGCTGCCGCGAGTTCGAGTCGACGGGGTGCAAAATATAATTCTGTGTACACCCCCCGCAGTCCACCCACGTGTGCATTTTCCCTTCAACCAATTCTATGCATTGTTTGGCGACAACTTTTATTCTCTTCGAGTGCGCGCGAGGGACGAATTGAGAAAGAATGAGAACAAAAATCTCCCACTCGTGAAAAGAGAGTGTGTGCAACGCAAACGGCAACTCGCCGCATTAAGAGAGCGCCTGCTTTTTTATTCACACCCCTCTTCTTCTTTTTTTTTATATCCGCTCACTGCTTTTTTATTCCAGGTTGCAGTCATGAATTTCAAATTAGTTTCGCGTGTGTACATTACACAACCTCATTCTTTCGCATTTTTCTTTTAATTTTTTGTGTTTTACACGGTTGGCTGGTGCACAAAAGAACCCTTCCATTCACAAGCAAGAGTCACCTTTCTGCCCTCGGTATTCTCATCCACTCGCGCGCTCGCTGAATTCCGCCGCTTTTTTTAATTTTGGTTTGCGAAATCCGCTGCACGGTGAGTGAAAAGCTCGCAAGTGTTTTTGTGCCGAGAGAGGGCTGCCGCCGACAGCAGGCAGAAGGCTGCCACATTTTTTTTTGTGCAACATTATGAATTCCGGTGGAAAAAGGAATAATATGCGGGAGGCTATTAAAATTGCTGCTCCGCGTTTGTCATGAATTGCGCGGTGGATTGTCGAGCAGTCGCGCTTGTCAACCAAATTTGTTTTGCACCCGTATGAGTGCTGTGCAGTGTCACTTTTTTCTTGGCAATAACTCTCTCAAATGCCGTGGTTACTTTTTTTTTGTTAAAAATCTCAAAACAAAATTTACACATCCATGTTAATTTTTTCCTTGAAAAGTTAGCTATTCATAAAAATCGATTCATATTATTTTAAATTTACACTTAAAAATAATTAAAGATACTGTTAAATTTTTAATAAAATAATCCGCGAGATCAGGTTAGACTTAGACTAACAAAGAAACTCCAAAAATCCTCTCCAATTAGAATGAAACTGGTTCAGGAGCATCAAACGACTTTGGCCGCCTCAAATCTGGGCAAACGCATGCATGCTTCTTGTAACAATTTCCAACTTTTTATGGGAACACTCTAGATAGTTGCATGTTAATCCATAACTATTAATTTTTGATGGATGATATACACGCGATTCAACAAATTGTGAGTCCTGGGACTTGCAATACTTTTTAGGTCCCACGTTATCAATTCAAAACAAATTTATTGGCTTTTTAAAAATCATCAAAAGCTATATATCCGTAGTGGTTTTTTTTTTGCTGAAAATTTTTTACATTATTTTATTTCAATTGATACATGCTTAAATTTACTCACCACGCTTCTAATTATCTTTTTATTTCAGGCGTTTTTGCTTGTTGTGTTTCTTTTCTCCTTTCACAATCGGAATTTTTGGTATTTTTTTCCGAGAAGAATAAATGATAAGAGAAACTCATACTTTAATATGTATTTATATTTTAACTGGTTCATTAAAATGAAGGCAATTATTGCTGGGCTCTTTGATATGTTTAACACCATTATAATTATATAATTGGCCATGGAGATTCACATGTTATATTTTTTTACGTCAATGTAAATCTGACAGGAGTCTCAATAGCTACAGACACTTAGAAATTTTTTAGAAGGTTAAACAAATCTTCATAATATGCAATTGAAATAAACTAATTATTATTTCAATATTGGAAAAATAAAATTATATATTAAATACTGTTAAAATAACACAAGCATTTCTTGCTATAAATTGTTAATTAAAGTAAATTTACTATAATATCTTTACCTAAAAAATCTCCAACTTTTTTAATACATTAAAGCAAAGCATTGTAACGAAAACTCCCTCAACGTGCACGCACTTTTAAATGCGGGCGTTACGGAAGTCTCATGTTTAAAAGCCACGGAAATAAAATTACCCTCTTGTACACATATCCATTTTCCATTTTCCTTCTCAACCGAGAAGCCTGTTGTTCCCTTCACCGCTCTCTTTTTTCTTTCTGGCGCTTTTTCAGCCAGAGAGAGGTGGCTGCTGTTGCCGCAAAAAGGACGGCCCGCATTTTTATTCATTGTTCTGACGGCGGCAGCAGGCGAAAAGCGAAGAAAGAAAGAGAGAAGGAAAGCAAGCAAGTATAAAGTCCGCCGAGAGAGCATCCCCACCTGCCCACCTCTACCTGACACAAATCCTCGAGTAATCCCATTCGCTCCCCATTATTAAAGCGGGAAAGGGAAACGCGTTTTGAGGAAGTTCGAATCGATGCAAGTATTCTTTTTTTACGGGTTTTCCGAGCGTCGTCGCCGAAAGGTCTGAGAAATAACAAGTGTGGCGCTGGCGTCGAGTTGGAGGCTCCACGCCGTCTGGCCAGCAGTTGGGCTCGATCCGCCCTTGCGCGAGGGCTGCCTTTGCCGGCGAGCCCTGTTCTTTTTTATACTCTCTCTTGCAGCAGCAGCACCAGACTGGCTCTCTCTCACGAAGATGCTTTTCATGACATGGACTCGTTAAGCACCTGCAGGTAGCTGAATAATTTATCCTCCCGCCCATCAAAACCCAACTGCACAAACCCAACTTGCTACTTTTCCATCATCCGCCGCTGTCACTCCATATCCGGTCGGTCCGGGGCTCTCCGTCTTTTTTTTCATAAATTTTTTTGCCGGCTTCCGAGGGTGGTTCCAAAATTGCGATAACGTGACGGATGTCATTTCCTCGTTTTGGGCCGGGGGAGTCATATTGGCCCGCGGCTAACACGCCGGCGCAAATTCGGACAATTGTCAAATCGACGCACATATTTTAAGCGACCTAATTTGACAGCGTCATGTGGTGTTCGCCGCGCATAGTTTCTCTCCTGCTGCCTTTCTCGGGGATTAATTCGCGAGTGCCGATATCGATTCACTCTCTCTGGTGTGTGTGTGTTCCGCCGCCGTTTTAATATGCATTATATAGATAGGCTTGCGCCGGATCAAGAGTGTTGTTTGCACAACGGAAATGAGAGAGTAGTGGATTAGTTTGTATTTCGTGAGTGCGAGAACTCGTTTCCGACCGACCACTTAATTGCATATTTTCTCACTCACTGCACTAATTCCAGGCTAATTTTTTGAGCCGGTTAGTATTACGAGTAGATTAAATGCCACGTCTCAAGTTATTACTCCTTGTTTATTCAAAGCCAATCTCACTTGCGTTTGTTCACTCTCTTTTTTAATCAGCTGCTTCACTCAAAAGTAAATTTAACTTTCACTTCTTGAAGGAGTATTGATTTTTTAAACCTCTGAAAGGAAACAGCTCTCGGCAAACTCTGTTCATTTTGGTGAGTTAAAAACGGATCGTAAATATTATTTTAAAAGAAATGCAGGTAGTATTTAAGTATATTAGAAAAATTAAACTATTAAACTTTAAAAACTAAGTGTAGGAAATAGGCAAGCCGATTATTAATGCTTATGGAAACCAAGCTCCTTTGAAAATAGCAAAATTAAAATAAAATAATTAAATGTATAAAGACATCATACAATTTTAGGAGCTAGCTTGCACAAGAAGAAACGAATCTACCCAACTTGCCGTCCCTGTACAATCCACATTATTTAACTATTTATATTCCTAGTTACCGGGAGTCTTCAAATGTTACCAAATGACAAATTTAAATTAGTGTGTTTGAGAATGTAGTTAATGGTAGAAAACTGCTCTCTCTTCTCTCGGAAAATGAGAGATTGTGCTTACAGTAGAGCGTGAGTAATGATTTATTAGATTTTTTCTTTAAGTTCAAAATACAAAGCTGCGGGAAGCCGGAGATTGCTTTTTTATTTACCGCTTAATAAAAAAAATAGCAACAACAAAAACAGAAGAGCAGAAACTTGTTTACGGTTAATTCCACATTGTATTTTTCACAATTTTTACCAAAAACAATATATTGTGTATTAAAGCTTACTTTATTCAAGACCTTCAATTTTATTCTGAATAAAATTTTCGAATTTTCATACCAGCCAATTTTGTAAAAACACAAAAACAATTATGGTTTGAAATAGTGATTCGATTAGTTTTGATTCTTTTCAATTCCCTCGATTCTTTTTCTGTAATAAATAGCTAGACTTTTTTTTAAATAAGCAGCATTAAAAATAGTAAAAGAACGTCCAATCTTATAACAACATTAAATTATAAAATCACAATTGAATTTTTTTGAGTAGCCATTTGTATCAAAATTATCTCAAACTGTGCAAAGATACAAAATCAATTTGAATTTTGCAATTATGGTGTAAATCAGATGTGATTCAAGTGAAATCGTTGAGCAAAAACTCTTTCCACATTCAGCTGAATTACAAAAGAGGATTTCGAACCGCGATTTCATCATCGCGCAGCTTTATTTTTTCAAAATGGAGAACGCCGAGTGAACAATGGAAGGAAATTCGCATTAACTGCATTACGGATGAAATTCGCACTCACCCTGTCCGTCTGTCTGTGTGAAAAGAGCTCCGGGATTAGAGCGAGCTAGGGCAGGCAGCCGCCAGTTGCGGTGATATCATTTTTGCACCTAAAGGTCAAAGTGCAGCGGCAGCAAGAATGCTTTCGCTCGCGGCGGCCGGTGCTCCAGCCAGCGGCAGCCGCAGAGCCATTGTGCGACGAATTTCGCTGATTTCCATCCGACGAGCGCCACCGGGGCGCGAAATGCAGCGCTGCCGGGCAAAATGAATGGTCGATGCTGATTTTACACCGTGCGCATAATAGGCTGGGTGTGCATTTCCAGCGCAAAATCTCTTAATAGGATTTATTTGACCCTCTCTCTGTGGAGCTCTCCGCCGGATTTGATAATGATACATACGCAGGCCCCGACCGCATGAAAGCAGCCCATATTTGTTTGTTGATAAATACCCGCCCCGCCAGTATAATGTGCGTGCGTGTTCTCCTGTGTAATTGCCGAATCTCGTTAAGCGCTCGGATGCTGCTTTTTGCTTCGTGTATCATAACCAAATCGGCCTTGCGAGTTGAGTGCGGTTTTCCCTCAGCGATCATTTACATTTTTTGTGGCACACTTTTTTTTACGGGAGCAAAAAGAGACAGTCACAGAGCGTGTTGAGCGTCAAATTCGCTTTCATGTTTCAACGTTAAAATATCATAATTGCATTTAATTTGATGTACTTTTAACGATATGCCTTATTAAGCAACCTAAAATTACATAAATATTTCAGATCAATAATTTTATTTCATTTCACATCACAATTTTACAAGGTTTAATTTTCCTTATTTTAAAGCCTTTTTAATATTATCTCAATGAAATGCTTCTTCTATTGAAATTTAAACATTATACCATAAAAATAACATGATAATATAATCAGTTACCGTTAGGTGTGCCATTAATTCCAGGCCACTAGATGCAGTAAAATAATAGCTCTCATATATATTTTCTGACATTTTTTTTGTGTGATGATACTCTTTATGCGTAAGATTTGAATTCAGCTCATCTTTGTACAGTGTACTGATTAATTGTGTACCAAAATAAATTGAAAGAATAACAATAATTGAAATTAGACTTTGCATTGACGGAATGTTAGCTGCAACTTCTTCCCAATCAATTTTGGAAATTGACAGTATATTTATTTTTTCAATAAACTTAACATTCAAAATAACATATTATTAAAACAGAGTTTGCAGCAGTTAGAAAATTTGTTGTAAAGAATATTCTATTTTAATAATTTTTATAAACAAATACAATTAAAGAATAAATATCATATAAATTTAAAAAATAATAAGAAATATTGTTATACCAATTTTTATTTTAATTTAAAATTTGTTATTTTTATAAAGTACTAATTTGGATAAATTTGGAAAAAGTTTGGGGTAGACGAAGGTAAATTTTGAGAGTACATGGAGTGTCCCCTTGCTTGTTTTCCTTATTTCTCAGAGTTGAGATGACGCGGAGAGGGCAGGGGGTCGACTTTTCTCAGGGTGCAGAAAGTTGGAAGTATCATCAAGGGATGTAATTCAAAATGAGAATGAAGTAAACTTATTTCAATATAGCCAAATGTTTGCAAATAGCAAGCAACTTGGTTTTTCTTGAAACTGTGGGAGAAAAATTTAATGGTATTTCTTTCATCACACCTAAAATTAAATGTTGTGAATGTACCAAAAATTCAATTGTTTCTGTCGCAAAAAATAAACATAACTAAAAATCCAGAACACAAGAAGTTTATGCATTATGACTTAAAAAAATTATGTAACACTCATGTTTTTTTTAAATTATGACAAAGAAATTAATTAAAAATATCACACATTTAATAATTTAACTATAAATTTACAAACCTAGGGTGATTTATTTTATTTTCAATTTCTTCTTAGCAAATTAAAAAATGACATTTGAAATATAGAAATCTCCATTAAATTTAGTGCCCTTGATAAACACCAATAGTTAATTTTACTTCATAAACTTTTTAAATCCCTGCTTATATTTTTTTGATTTATTTTACATGCTACAAAAAAAATGGTATTTTAACTCTTGATACAGAGCGAATTATTTTGCATTTCAGCCATGTCGGAGAGATTCAGTCGGCGCTCCATCGTGCTTGGTCGCAGAGGGTCTTCCTACACAGGTCTGCAAGGGCCGGCCACCCCTTCGCACTTCCCCTCGCACCTCATAAACGCAGAGCCATCAAAGGTCAGTTAGAATAAAGTAGTGTAGAGATAAACTTTGGCCTACTCGCACCGTACTGCTCACAATCTGCACTTTCACTAATATGTACAACACACGCGAAAAGCGTGCGAGCAGCAGGTGAAACACAAAAGCGCCTGGCAAAAGTCACGATTATTCTCGCTGAACAATTAGTTTTACGCTGGGCACGAAACTCGCCAGCTTTGTCGCCTCTGCTCTATGTATTTGGTTGGCAGGGTCGAGGATTGCAGCTTTGAGATAACGTTTGTGAGCAGATTAAATGATTATCTAGATTGTGAAACGGGATATTTCACAAGATTTTACAGCAGCAAATTAAAAAGAAAATCCTGCAGACCCATTTTCTATTTAAAACTTATTTGAGGTCTAAATAATATCTTTTTTTGGGCACATGAATAGTGGGGAAATTTTTAAATCAGAACAAAATCAACCATGTAAATATTTCAATCAGCTTTGCTATGAAATTTTAAAAGTTTATTTTGCACTCATATCTGATCTCTTCTTTAAGGTATTAATTAATTTTGTTTTGATAGTATATTAAAAATTGCTAGCCCAATATTTTGAAACAAATTGATTAAAATTTTCCTAGTGAAGATCTGAAAAAGTTAGATTTTGAAGATTGTTCCGGACATAATTAACCAAGTTTTAAAGTTTCTAAGTTTGCCTTAGATAATTCATAAAACAATATTGCAAAGATTTTTCCGGTAAAAAAAGTAGAAAACTAATAAATCTGTCAATTATTTGGGATTTCTTCTATACAGTGTTTACATCTATGAAAATTTTATTTTCGCAGAAAATTTCCAACCGCTTCAACCACTTATTTTCAAATGCAGCTTTTTTACAAATCGGACGTTATTCTTTTGAATTTTAATGGATGGATTAATTCAGTTCTAAATTTCTAAGTTTTGGCAAATGTAAAATAGAGTAAGAAAAGTATTTCAATTAATTAACTGACATATTAGCATAAAAACACATCTCCACAGTTAAGTGATTGCGCCTTTAAAACTCGACTACTGTACTCAAGCCCACGGTCACTGCTATACCCTTTCCGTCGAAATTTTGTACAAATTAAAAATTAATATTTGATATCGTTCGCGTGCCGTGCAGCGGCCGCTCAAAGAGCAACCAACGAAAGCTGCCCGACTCTTTCGCACACAAAAGGCGTGTGTTTATTCTGCGCGCATTCGTGCCATTAATAATGCACTTCATCATCAAGCGCACCAACAGCGGTCGTTTCTCTCCAGTCGGTCTGCGCCGTCCGTGCAGAGCCTTTGTTTACAGTGACAGCCGCTCTCAGCCGAAGAGGCCTCAGGAATTATCGTGGCTTTGCAACGAACGCATGTGCGCGCCCAATGGTCGGTCGCGCATAAAGCTGAGCTGTCGATTCAGCCCTTCGAATAATCCCGGCATGTGTGACAAAGAGCAATATTTCCCGACGCGATTTGCAAATCCGCGCGCACATTTCTCCGAGAGAGAGGAATTTTTTTTCCCAGCAGCTTGACGTCGTTTTATTCGCGCTAATTTATATTAATTTTTATAGCACTGGCGGGATGATGTGCTCCATTAATTAAAAACGTTGTAAGGGAATTCTCTCTCGGCGTGGTAACGGAGTGATGGGAATGTGGCGTGCGAAATCTCATGAATCATAATTAACTATTTAACCATTACAAACTTCAAGAAGGAGATTGGGACCATGAAGCGAATATCTGCGAGATAAAAAATTATATCATGGGATTTTTTCTGAAGTTTTAAGTTTTTTTGAAAAAGGGCAAAAAAAATTAGCGATTAATAGAAAAAATGCTGTAAAAGAATAACAATTTCATTTTAAAAAAAATGCACCATCAAAATGTAGAAAATGTTTGTTTTCTAGCTTTTTAATCAAAAATACTATTGAATGTATTGCACGTTGAAGTTAAAGTAAAGCGTTGTCTTTCCTCTTTCCATATGAATGTCAGCTTCTTCAAAATGGAAGAAACTTGAATATTTAAGAGCAAAATGAAACTTTTTGAGCAATCAAATTTATTTCTCAAATTTGGACCAAAAATTCGCAATATTATACTTTTATTTCGACAAGTAAATGTAAAATGGATAGATTTGTTATGAAATAATAATCGCTTCAAGCTACCTCACATGCTTTAGTGATTGCAATCTTAGCGGCCTATAATTTTAGTTTATGGGCTGATCGTCAAAACTTTTTTTAGATAATATGAGGCCGCTCTTGGTACTTCCAAAGAAATTAACATTTTTTTTTCATAGAAAATAAAACTTGAATATATTAAAATTATAACTTCAGTCTATTTAGGCTATTCAATAGACTATATAAGGCCTAATAAGGCTTATTATATTTTTTAAAGTAAAAAGGCTTAATCAATTTCTGTAGTTATATTATTATTATTATTTATTCTTCTCGGTCGATACAAAAAATTTTAAATTGGAAAAAAGAGAAGAAAGGGTTTATGCTATTTAAGGTCGATTAAAAGAAAATTGAAAAAGCAATAATATCGTTGTAATTTCAGCAGGTAATTAAAAAAAACACACACATTTAATTTTTATACATATCAATTATGAACAATATTCAATAGTCGCATATTTTGAAAAAAAATTTAGATGACAATTTTTTAAGGTCTACTTGGTCTAGAAATTTCAAATTCTGTGGGTCTACAGAGTGAAAATGCTAGTCCAGACAGACCTCAATTTATAACAGACTAATTTTAATTTTCAATAATTTTTTTAAATTTTCCGACTACTGCTATCTGCGGTCTAATAATTTTAGCTTCCAGACCTAAGTTTGACCCGCCGAGGTTTTCGGTAGTCGCATATTTTGAAAAAAAATTTAGATGACAATTTTTTAAGGTCTACTTGGTCTAGAAATTTCAAATTCTGTGGGTCTACAGAGTGAAAATGCTAGTCCAGACAGACCTCAATTTATAACAGACTAATTTTAATTTTCAATAATTTTTTTAAATTTTCCGACTACTGCTATCTGCGGTCTAATAATTTTAGCTTCCAGACCTAAGTTTGACCCGCCGAGGTTTTCGGTAGTCGCATATTTTGAAAAAAAATTTAGATGACAATTTTTTAAGGTCTACTTGGTCTAGAAATTTCAAATTCTGTGGGTCTACAGTGTGAAAATGCTAGTCCAGACAGACCTCAATTTATAACAGACTAATTTTAATTTTCAATATTTTTTTTAAATTTTCCGACTACTGCTATCTGCGGTCTAATAATTTTAGCTTCCAGACCTAAGTTTGACCCGCCGAGGTTTTCGGTAGTCGCATATTTTGAAAAAAAATTTAGATGACAATTTTTTATGGTCTACTTGGTCTAGAAATTTCAAATTCTGTAGGTCTGAAGAGTGAAAATACTAGACCAGGCAGACCTCAATTTATAACAAACTAATTTTCATTTTCAATAATTTTTAAATTTTCTGACTACTGCTATCTGCGGTCTATAAATTTTAGCTTCCAACCCTAAGTTAGACCCGGGGCGCCGAGTATTTAGTTATTCTTCCTTTTTAAAATGCATTTTGATGGTCCCACGAAATATTCCCAATCTTTTTCAACGACACCTATCCAGTTACAAAATTTCCTTGGATGGGATATAATTACACATTTTCACGGCACGCATTAAACTTGTGAAGTATCACTTGGTTGGGAAATCTGTCTCGCAGCATAAAAGCAGCAGGAAGACAGACATTCCTCGCGAATAATCGTATAACACCCCCAAAACACCCCTCTGGCATGGCAGCTATAGCACCCCATCTGTCCTCGGAGCGCGAAATTAGCCCCGCACATAACGTAAAGTTGAAAGGTAACAGCCGCTCGTCAAATTCCGGCCCATACATATGCGCATTAAAAGCCAACGTGTGCGCACACAAAACTCTTCCGCCCCGGCCAAATAACACAAGAGAAGCACCGCCCGCGCTTTTAACGAGCCCCTATGCCAGACCCGCAAATTAAAACGAGCCATAACTCGGCCACTTTGAACCACAAATGAAGGGTTGCAAAGTTTCCGTTGTATTATTATCATTGCCAAAGTATAGGGTGAGCGCAGGGGTAGAGTTTTTGATGAGCGTCATTCTTGTCACTCTTTGCTAACTCGTTAGGCAAAAAACATTACGAGATGAGATTAAATTTTGTCACTTGCTCTCCAAGATAAGGTTGAATTCAGAATTTAAAAAAATCCAAAGTAGTAAATCCAATCAAATTTGATAAAAACACAATCACAGATTTATGATTAAATGAATAGTTTTTTTCATGAGAGGTAAGCTATGTACTTATATAATCAATAAATGAAAAAAATCCGAGAGATCAGATTAATCTAATTAAGAAACTTCCTAACCTAAAACCCTTTCCAATTAGAATGAAACTGGTTCAGCACTTTGGACGCCTCAAATCTGGGCAAAAGTATGCATGTCTCTTGTTATATTTTCCATCTTTTGATGGGGACACTAAGTAACTTGTTTTAAGTTACGTGTTCAATTCAGTACAAATTTATTGGCTTTCTAAAAATTATCAAATGGTTTTATCTGTAATGGATTATTTTCTTTGCTGCTAATATGTTTGCATTATTCTATATTAATTGAACAAAGTAGCACCTATTCCTTCTCTTTGACAAATAGGCCCATGCTTATATTTACTCACCGCTGCGGCTATAATTATCTTTTCGTGTCGGGCGTTTTAGCCCATATTTGCTAGTGACGGTACCCTTCCCTTTCTAATTTTACAATGAAATATATTTTGTATTTTACCGGGAAGAATAAATCGGAGAGGAATTGTTTTCTTTTTTAGTTTTGATTTATATTAAAATGTTTTAATCTGATACAGGGAAATTCGTTGATATCTGGAGACTACTGGGTACTTATCACCAATTATACAGTAGTTAGTGTTGGAGTTCCACACATTAAATTCTTTATGTTACATAAATCTGACAAGAGCTTCAATAGCTATTAATATTTATAAAAATACATTTAAAGAAGTAAAAAAAAT